CACCAATGTTAGCTTTATGTGTTCTTTTCCTAATTGAAGAGTAAAATTAGGATGTTTATTGGGATTTTCATCTTTTTTGACACAGAAGTTGAGTGCTATAAGCTGCTATCTTAGAATTGCTTTTGCTATATCCCATAATTTTAACATGTGTGTTTCCATTTGTTTTTGTCTGAAGATATTTAACATACTTCCTTTCAACTTTTCCTTTGGAACACTGGTTGTTCAGGCACATATTTAATATCCACATATTTGTGAATTTTCCAAAATTCCTCATTGTCAATTCCTAGTTTCATACCATTGTTTTCAGAAAGGATCTTTAATGACTTCAGTCATCTTAAGCTTATTAAGACTTGCACTGTGGACTAGTACATGATCTATTTTGGAAAACGTTCTATATGTCCTTGAAAAAGTTAGAGCTGCTATTGGGTGGGAAATCCGTTGTACATTTATGAGGCTCATCATGTTTAAAATGTAGTTCAGGTCCATTATTTCCATGTTCATTTTCTATATGAATGATCTGTCCATTACTAAAAAGGGAGCTCCAGAATTCTCCACTATTATCTTTTTTGGTAGATACTGGCAATACAGCATACCCTGCAAAGTCGCAGTTCAGAGTTCATTCTCAGGCTTTTCCTTAGAAACCCTTGCAATTTCACAGAAATGGCAAATATCCTCTATAAGTGCTTCCCCCCACCCCCCGCGCGAGGTTTGTAAGTAGCCAATCCGACAGTGTTATTCAGTTCTTGCTGCTAATAGGCTGCTGCCCTGTAACCCATCTCCAACAGATGCACCAACATCCTCCCCATTCCGGCATCAGAGCAGGTTGCTGCACCACCTGTGGCTATCTTGAGTGGTCTCAGTTTTGCTCTTCTTAAAGTTCTAAAATCCCTAAGATGCTACCAAAATGCCCTGCACCTTCTTAATACCATATTTTAAGTTAAATTATATAACTGTGGGAAATATAGTATGTTTAGAGTTTAAACTATAAAAATAGGTATCTATAGATTTTTTTAACTATATCAGAAATTCACAGCTTTTTGTAACTTGCAGTGCCCTAGAAAAGTAACCTCTGTGAATTTGGAGATCCACTGTGCATAATAAAATTGATACTGGTGAGTCCTCAACTATTACAAAATTGTAGTCTGTCTCTCCCTTCAAATCTATTAACATTTACTTTATATATTTAATTGTATTGATGTTGGTAGCATTGATGAAATGGTAATTTATCATTATACAATAAATGGAGCACACTTCCAGAAACACACTTGTAATACAAAGCACTTGTATATTAAAGTGAATTTCCCCATAAGAAATAATGAATACTCAGATGATTCATTTCACCGCCCAAAGTATTCATATAAAAATGATAACACAGACATTCCTCTTTAATTACCCAGTTGGATGCCCATATCTAGGTCACTGAATGAATTTGTCACTAAATGAAGATTGGATATAGTATGTACTTTACAACATTCAGAACAAAGAAATGGTCAAAGGAAACTCCAATGAAATAACTTGCTTTTATTTGCCTAACTCTTGTATGCAGTGCTGTAATGTATAACAGAACATAACACTATAGTACCATACTGTATGGTGTAATCAGCAAACATTACAGTACTGTACTATAGAGAAAGCTGCCAGAAAGCCACCTTGCTGTTCACATTTCTTCATCCTGGTAAACCCAAATGCAACTCATAAGCCTAAGCAGCAGGTAGCATCTCCCAACAGTGTACCTTGTGGTTTGTTTGATTTTATTATCTGTGATAATATGAACACATTTTTTGAAGAAAACAAGACATTTGTAATATTCAGTGCTGATTTAATACCATCTTACTCTGAAGTCCTACCATGCTTTTGCTCTTCTGTTTCCATTGGTTCTATCATATTGTATCTTATTGTACTTTATTATGTGTGATAGTATAAACAAATTTTCTATGGAAAATGAGATAATATAGTAGCCATTGTTCATCCTCTGTTATTTGATTCTGAATGTCCTGTAATACTTTCATTCTCTTGAATGGTTTTATATTATTTTGTTATGTTTGATACTATTGTATATGAAGTTATACTCAGCTATTTCAAAGAAAGAGACATTATGGTAGCTACTGTTAATTACGGGTTGTCTTGTGGTGAAATACTATGTTGCTTACATTGCTCTGTTCTGATCTGCTTTGTTATGTCCTCTTTTGTCTTAATCTATTTAAAATAAAAAAAATTTTTAAAAACAAAGTGTACCTTGGTAGTAAATCTAAAGTTGTTAAACAAGTAGTCTATTAAACAAGGAATAACTGTACTGCAATAAAAAATAATGTTAAAAATCTTCACCTGCACTTACCTTTGAAAACCATGACAGGTGTGAGGGAGACGGAGAGAGGAGGGTGATTGTGTAGGATGAGTTTCACTATCATTAATAGAATTACGAATATCTGTTGACTCAATGGCATCTTTTTTCTTTTCAGGAATCTTTAATAAAAAAGCCATTCAATGACACTTGCTTTTGCCTCCTTTTAGGAACTGTGCAGAAATGAGACACCGCATGGTCATTAAAAAAATTCATTGCTAGCACTGCAGCAGCCTTCTTCAGGTGGTGTTTTTCTAAAACACTGTACACCATTTCCCACATTTTACATCCCACATCTACCTAAACTCATTTGAAATGAAAGATTCCTCTCTTTTCATTATCCTCCACAGAGATCTCGATAACCTCTTGCTGTTAGGAGATGATCACTCACAATCCAAGAGACAGACAGACAGACACACAGACACAGATACACAGACAGAAACCACTGGCTCAGCTGTGATCATGGGACATTCTGCATCATACACCACTCACATGGCTAGACACTGCTCATTTATCAGGTTAAATTTTATTGCAAATGTGCATCTTGTGGAACACTTAGAGAACATGTTTCTTACAACCCAAGGTTTTTCTGTAAAACTGTGATCTTTGTCTCTTTTCTTACAGTTTTTAACTCACAGTCTATTTTGTGTGCTGTAACCACAGCTATCTGTGCTTTACCTTTGTTTCCATGTGCATAGAATGTCTTTTTGCATCGTTTTACTTTCGGTCTTATAAATCCTTAAAGGTGAAGTAAATGTCTCTTATGGGCAGCATACAGTTGGGCCTTTTCTTCCATCCACTCAACCACGCTAAGCCTTTGGGGTGGCTGGCACAGTGACTCATTCTTGTGTTTGTTGTCCCCATGTATCTCATTCATTGATCTCACTAATGGCCCTTCCTGTGTAGGTATTTTCTGTTTGGGGCTCCATTATGGTTCTGAATATTTTAAAATGCACCTGTGAGCTCTGCTGGAGCTATTGTGGCTTGCAGATAACTATTTGTTTTTCTGCTGGGAGACAGAAAGCTCGTGTCTCATACTGTGCCATCTTGCTGACATCTACTCGCTAAGAATCTTTCTATGATTTCTTCATCCTAAAATTTAATATTTTTCAATTTGAAGGCACACTATTGTTAAGAATCTATCATTTTACCTAGCACTTTTCTATTTTCTTAACTGAGAATTTAAAGAGCATCATAAGACAATGTCCAAAAAGGGGTTAAAAATTAGAACAGAAAGAAATGGAGGCGAGTTTTACAAAACAATAACAGCAATAACAAAATACTAGCTAATCTTGCAATTACAGTGTTCCGGGTACCTGTTCCAAAGACTTTAAATTTATGAATTGGGCCTCACACCTCTATGTGCTTGGTGATTATCCTCCCTATGTACTCATGTGGCTCAGGGGACTGAGTCACCCAGAAGTTGGTAATTTGACAGCTCAAGAGCTGGTAAGTGGTGGAGCCAGGCAGTCTGGCTTTGGGCTCTGCACTCTGAACCCCACATCATGCTGCTTCACAGACTGCCCATCCCTTCCTCTTTCTCAGCTCTGCTTGTTTCTCCACAGCCCTTACTCATGACCACCTCCTGAAACACCATTTCTACTTCTGCTGTGTAACTAATCCCTTCTTCTTGACGCCAAAATCTAAAATTCAAGTGGTGCTCATGCTCCGTAATTGATCTTTACCCTCCAAATTTCTTCCAGATCTTTTCATTTTATCCCATTTAAAAATCTCCCCATGTTGGATGCAGTGGTGCTGTAATCCCAGGATTCCAGGGGCTGAGGCAGGATTGGTAAAGAGTTCAAAGCCAGCCAGGACTACACAGCGAGACTGTCTCAAAAAAAAAAAAAAAAAATCTATCCATGAAATGCCTATTTACAAGCTGCAACAGTCATGGAATGAAGGAAAAAGTAGCACCCATTTCTGCACAATTCCAAGTCCCCAGAGAATAAACTGGGGTTATGGTTTTCTGACATGATACTATTCTTATACTGGATTTTGCTATCTGAGAAAAGCAATTGTGATAACCAAGTGCCACCTGTATGCCTGACATTATTTTAAGGCCTTTCCATGTATGAACACATTTAATCCTATAGCTGCTTGTGAGGTGAGCTCTGATTATCATTTTGATTCACAGATGAGAGGTATAGGGGGTTTAAGGATTTGCCTAACGTACACCCAGTGGTGTCGCCAGGTTTAATAACATAGCCCAGGTCTTCATTACTGTGCCAACAGCTTTTTAGTCCCACACACTCCATGAGAAGAAATACCATTCCATTTTTACATTTTTCCCCCTGAAAGTTTCCAAAGTTCCTTTCAAATGGTCTGCATCTCTTTTATATGTCACTCCAAAACTATTTTCAACAGTCTTCCAGAAGGGCTAGAAATCCCTGGATTTTCCCCCTTTTCTTTGCTTCTATTTTTTGCTGGGTTCCCTCAGAAGGCTGCTGGAATTATAAACAGTCACTGACACTTCACAATAACTGGAATTTGCACTTGGACTTTTTGATTAGCACAAAGCAAGTCTCCCCAATGTGTGAGCTTACATTGGGCCTCTTATCTTAATCAAAGGAAACCTGACCCCTGCGGGTGTGGGTTCCGCCCTGCCTGGCTCAGCCTGGGATGTCCAGAGTTGATTCACACTTGTCCCTGACTCCAGACCATCTCCCATGCAAAGGGATGACCCCTGCATCCTTGGCAACTGCTCCTTCTAAGCTGCCAACCTTGGCTCTGAATTATCAACATTGTAACTTCAGGGGACATGTTGGGAAAGGCCGGGAATTTCAGGAAAGCAAATAGGAAGTAGTTTTTGTAAGCAGCCTGACACTGAGGGGAGCTAGCGAGACTATAAGAAGTCTGGGTTGAGCAGAAGGCAGAAAGCCAGTGGAGCACAGAGGAGATGGTAAGTTCATTTTTCCTTTTGTGTGAGAAGTGGATGCATTCAAGTGGTTTGGGGCTGGATCAGACAGATAAAGGCTCAGAAAGTGATGAATAGTAATAACCATGGAGTTTTATGTTGAACTGTCTGTTGAAATTTGCAAGTATTTCTTTTCTCTTTTGGAGACAGGTTCTCACTATGTTGGCTAGGCTGATCTTGAGCTCACGCCCTTCCTGCCTCAGTTTCCTCAGAAGTTGGGATTGTGCCGCATGTCTAAATTTGCTATTTACATTGATCCTCCTAGCATCCTTATGAGTCAAGGTTAATTTCATTTTACACATAAAGCCACTGTGGTCTGCAGAGGTTATGTGTTTTTCCAAAGCCTGTATTGGTAGAGCTGATGGTCTTAGAGTTTTGATCTGTGGTCTATGGATGGCTATTGTTTTTCTACTAGAACTCATAGAGACTCTCCTAGAGGAGTAGATCTCTAAATCTGTGATCCCTTTCCCAGGACTGATCTTGTCTGTGAGATAAATGGAGAGCTGACCAAGTGCACTAGGACAAGCAACAATGAAATGTTTTTTTATTTCCAACCCCCCTATTTCTTTCTCTGAGCCCCAGGGGTTTTTCTGGAACTGATCTAAACTGTTCCCATGGTTTTATTTCTTTCTTATCTAGTCAGTTAGTGACTCAGTTTCCTCTTCTGTAACTTAGACGTAATAATAGTAGTCTACTTTCGAATTTCATTATGAGAATTAAATAAGATTGTACTGAAAAGCATGTACATCTGATCCTGGTACAAGTGATTAATAAATGTCAGCTATTATGGTTAAGTAAAAGACAAAATTCTTGGTGTAGAGTGCGATTTGAGATCCAGAGAAGATCCAAAGATAACAAGGCATTTTGAAGCAGTAAAATTGCTCTAGCTGAGACACATGTTGCTAGACTACCTCCAACTTTACCCTCAATCTGCAGGAGGATTGTACACTGTCTCAGTGTTATGGTTTATATTTAGATCCTCCCCAAGAACCTTATGCACTCGTAGGTGGGGATTTCTGAAGGTGATTGTATTCTGGCAGTGGGAGCTTATCTGCTCTTGGGTTGTGGGATCTCATCAGAAGTGGCAGGTTGCTCTGGGCATGGCCTGGAAGGGTCTGTCTCCTATCCTGGCTCCTGCTTGACCTCCTTCTGCTTCTCAACTGCTATGTCATGAGCAATTTTCCTCTGCCATGCTGTCCTGCCTTAGAGGCAGCCAACTACAGACCAAAACCTCCACAAACTGTCAGCCAAAATAAACCTCTCCTTTAACTGCAGGTGTGGGGTATTTTGTCCCAGCAACGAGGAAAATAACGAAGACACCCAGAATCTAAATTCCTGCTGTCTGGGTGTAGAAAGGTACCAGACAGATCTCTGTGTGGGATGCCTTTCTTTGGAACTCCAGAAGAAAGAAAGGCTTCTAGCTGAGTTATTTCTTATTTCTGCTCTACAGTATCACCCTTTCAAATACTTACAGTGAGAGTTTTCTGTGTCGAGGAAAACAGGGTTAAGAGAATGAAGAAGATAAGAGGAAGAAGTTTGAGCCTGCCCTAAAGTTGAGTCACAATGACCTAAGAATGTGGGTCACTTTATCTTTTTCTATGTCATCCTGAATTAGCCAACTGAGACGAATGAGCAGTTAATTCCTGTCTTCTATCTATTCTATTTGGCATCTTCCTCTATTTCAAAGATACAAGTGTTCTGGACCATAGAGCTCTTTAGGGTTCTGGTTGAAGATACAATTCCTCTTCCTAAATAAAAACATAATATGCACATAAATATCTACCTTTATAGACAGCCACAGGAGTTCACAGACCTCCATGTGGCTCCTCAGAAGATCCCACTGTATTATCTATTGTGCTTTATCCTCTTCATTGTTCTACTGGCATCCTATGACTAGGCTGGAGCTCTACAATAAGATGCCAAGGACTCTAGCCCGGGAATGTTTTTAGTTTTTCACAGGCATGATCTCTCCCCTCACCTTCCAAGCACATTTGGGTCTTAGCATTCAGGCTCAATCTGTTGGTTTAAGCTCTACTTATGGTCAGAGAATGACTTCACTTAACTTCTAGGACTTGAGAACATGAAGTGAGGGTCTAGCTAGTGGGATATTTTCAATCAGATCTCAGAGAAGCTTTTGACTGAGAGTCACAGTTAAATGATGCTGATCTTAGTGAAGGCCTTAAGGGGCCAAGAAATAGGTCTGGATTCCTTCCCACTTGCAACCCAGTCATCTTATCTGTTCTTTCAGTTCTACTCATTTCGTGGCCTGTTTTTCAAAATGTACCTGATTGGTAACACTTTTTTGACTTCTCAGAAGCTCTTAGAATGTGTCTAAGGTCTGCACTTGGAAAGTTATTAATCAAATCCTCAAGAGTAAAAGGTACTACTCTGAAAGGTAGTACATGTTGGTTTCATCAGTTACATTCATTACTTTGCCTCATAGGTGCCTAATCTAATAGAAAAAGCAAAACAGAAATTTAACAAAGTGAATTGCAGAATAAATCCTTTGTATTCATAGGGATGTAACTCAACTATGGCCTAATAGGCTTTTCAAAAAAAATGATTTAAATAGGTTACTTTGTTTTTGATGCTACTATTTTTACTCTAAGAATGATGACTGATACTGTAATTTCAGCATATGCTTTGATTCTAAATACTGATGTCTTGGGCCCCTGTGTTTGACCTTAAGGCATTCTCTTTTCTCATTGTATTTCATTTTCTACCTTGAAAACATGGGTGTTGATAATGATACCTCATCACTATCACCATCCAGAAACTGAAGAGAATTAATATTAAAATAGGAGCAATGTCTTGTAACATCCAAGGTGTTGCTACTAACATAATATACACTCTACATCCCCCAAAACTCTCATGCCCCCTCTCCTCTTACGTTCCACAAACCAGGACTTCTTTAACTTCCCCGGCAGTAGCCTTTTGTTTATGAAGTTCAAATTTTCTGTTTCTAATTCATTAAAAAAAAAACACTTCCAGATGGAATGCTCATGTCACTTCTCTATTCAGAACCCCACACTTGGATCCCTCTTGTCGACTGGCTCTCGAAGCTCACATGATTTGGCCCCAAAATACTTTTCCAGTTAATCCCTAAAATGCCCCAAAATTCAGCATAATTCAGACCGCATCACTATCTGTCCTAAAATCCTCCCTTGGCTTCCTATTGCGCTTAGAATAAACTCTCCCCTGTTTTGACTCCCAGTGTCTAGGATGCTCTGTCAACAGCTTCCTGTCGTCTTCTCCCCTTCATCACTTCATTCCAGCCCCACTAACGTCTTCATGTTCTTTGAACAGCCCATACTTTGCTCCCATGTTAAAGCCTTTGAACTAGCGTTTTCATTTGCTTTTAGTGTTCTTCCTCCTGTTTCTCATCAGGCAGTTTTTTCTGGCCATTCTGCTGCTGGCTTAAACACCATCTCCTGAGGCAGTGCACTGTGATATCCTGTCTGACATAAGTCACTCTATCAAACAACCCCACTGTAGTTCTCTAGCACTTATTACTTTCTTGTGCTTTCCATGTTTACTTGTTTAAAGTATCATTGCATGTTTGTTGGTATTTGTTTCATTATCTTGTACTCAATAGAATGTACCTTCTTGGAGGACAAGAATTATGTATGTTTTCAGTATTTTAATTCTGGTCCCCAGAAAAATGTCTGATTGATTTTAAATGCTTAAGCAACCAACATTTATTAAAATAAATAATTGAAAAAAACACTACCGATGTATCATACATATAGATAGCAAAATGTTTAGCAGTATGAAGAAAAATAGTCTCCATCACCTCATATAGTTTGTTGTTGTTGTTATTTTTGCTTTTGTGGCAAGAATAGTTAAAATCTAGGCTGGATATAGTGATGCATGCCTGTAATCTACCAACTCTGAGTAAAGTGGGAGGATTACAACACCAAGGCCGGGCTGAGCAACTGAAAAAGATCCAGTCTCAAAATAAAAATTTTTGACAAGGGATGGAGATGTAACTAAGTGATGAAGGACTTGCCTTGCATGTTCAAGGCCCTAATTCAATTTCTATAATCACATACATGAAAAAAAATCCATTTAGGATGAATCTCAAGTACAGTCCAATTTCATTTCCTATAGTCCTCAAGTTGCACACCTGGTCTAAAGATTTGTTCTTCGTACACATCTGATGCTTTGCTTGTAGGGAGAGGAAACAGCAAGAATGCTAGAAGAGCTTTTTGTGATACTCTAACAACAATTCACTTCCACTCTGATGTCATCTTTAGTATAACCTTAGGCATTTATAATTATCAGCTATTTTTCCAATATTTTCTGTTTAACGTTTCTATCTTCTCTGCCATTATTCTGTTATTCATTCATTCATCATTTGTCCAACCATCCAGCTGTCCAGCTGTCCAGCCATCCAGCCATCCAGTCATTCATCCATGAAATGCTCACAAGCCTTAAGCATCTGCTTTCCCATGGCTGTACTTCAGGTCTATCTCATAGTCCCCGACTTTAAGAGTCTCTGACAGCTGATGTTTGCTATGCATTTGGGTTGTGGACTTTGCACTCAGGAGAGCCAACAGATATGGAGATATTGACTGAGGGCCTCTGGCAAAGAGAGGACAATAGGAGGCTGAAGGAAAAAAAAGAAAAATGAGAATCAAATAGGGTCATGAAGACCGGAACCCAGGGAAATCCTTACCTCTGCAAGAGAAGGCAGGAGAGTGAGGTAGATGCAGAGGAAGATGCAGAATAATTGCTAGAACATGAGAGAAGAACCTTCAGTAGCTTTCAAGTTAAAAGTGGTAGCCAAAGTCAAGTATCACTACAGAAAGGTCAAGGAAGACAAAGGAGGAAAGCATCCCTTGGCGATCAGGACATTCATGGTAAAATTCAAGGAGAAGTTTGGAAGGGCAGAAAGGCAATGGGCAAGAGGGCAAAGGGACCAGGAGGGTCAAGGAGTGGCACTGTTTGACTCTGAGAGTACCTAGACGTTGTCACAAGCAGAACAGAGCTCTCTGTGGCTGTCAGGAAGCTAAGGGACTCTTGCTGCCTTCGGTAACTTTCCCTCCAAAAAGGAAGGTTGAGGACAAACACTCACTCTTGCTTTCTTTCTGCCCTTTGCTCACCCTGCAGTCACTTTAAGCCCTTTCAGACAGTAACAGCAAACGTAACCATGACCTTAGGGACGGTTACACAGGCGCAGGATGTTATTCTAGTGACCCTGCTCAGACTCATTTCCAGCAACTTCCGGTTGGAGCCAGGGTCCCAGAAAGCATTAAGATTTACAGTGCACCGGGCTGCTTCTCCCAGAGAGGCATTTCCTCTCGCTATAACACATCACTCTCTTAATAGAGTCCCAACCCCTCAGCCTCCCAGCCCCACTACCCCGAAGGCTGTACTGAAGGATAGGGGCAGATCTGATAAGCCCAGCCACCCCAGGGAGTTTCAGTGGAAAATTACCCCTTAAGGAAAGTTTCTAGGCCTCGTCATTCTCCATCCACCTGCACAAAACCCATCATCTGCTATTGAGCGAAAAGGCTGCGTTATGGTTCACACAGATTTGGGCCTGGTGTCCATTAAATATGGACAGAATTAGTGAATCCATAAGCCTTTTAACGTTCCCTACAAACCAGTACATGCACATTTCCTGAAGACTCTCCATTCTTTTCAAAGTTCACACACTTGGTGAGAATAAGAATCACCACGTTAACATGAGACACACAGAGGCAAGGCACGGAGAGCAAGCCTTTGGGCTCACTGACTCTCCCTGCTAGGAGCAGGGACCACCTCATTTTGAGTACCACGGTCCAAAAGGCTTGCTGGTGAGTACTGGAGCAATTTTAAGTCATCCTGACAGTCTCCACAGCCCTGAAATAATCTGTGAGATTTTGATATTTGGTGAACTAAAAAATAAGAGAAGTATGATCATATTAAAGTAGGGTCACACATTGACATACACTTTCCTTCCTTACCTGCTGTACCTTGAACACAGTCACCTTCTCCACCCACTGCCTCTGTGTGTGTCTGCCTGTAGGTCTGTCTGACTGTCTATCTCTCTGTCTCTCCGTTTCATTTGTTGTGATGGAGACTCCTTTGAGGAAATTGTATTCAAACCAAACATTATTTAAAAGCTTAAATAAATAAGCAAGAAAAGATTTTACTTGAAAGAGTGGCTTGGCTTGGTTTGTTTTGCTTAAACCAAATCTTGTTTAAAAGTTTAAACAAACAAGTTACACAGGAAGCGGTGAGTAGATTTGGGCATGGCAAAAGGAAGTCAGGAGCTGTACCCCCTTAGCTCCTCACATGCTCCTGCAGTTTTAGGCAGATTGCTTTCAGGGAAATACTCATGTAAAAGTTGAGATCTAAATACAGATTTAACTAACACCGTCCTTGCTTGTGAATGCCCAGGGGAGTCAGGATCATGCTGGTTTGAAGATCTCTGCTGTGCACTTGTGATGGGTTTGGGGGTATTGAGTAGAATGTCATAGTAACAGCTGCTCATGCTACAACCCAAGGAAAACTCAGCTCAAATAGCCACTAAGGGACTGTCAAGTAAATAAACTTCAAGCACTATAAATCACAGGGTCATGATATTCTCATTGTTTGATCAAACGTCCTGCAGAAGTCAGCTGATTCATGGTCCAGCTTATAAGCACACAAAACATGCCTACTTCTAGAACTCAATACTCACAAACTCCTAGGTGAAACTGTGACTTCTTATTGCTCTAGGGCATGACACACTAGTTCTGAAGATTAGTGGATAATAAAGATAACATTATCTGTGCACTTTGTGTTTTTCTTACATAGATATTAAACATGTACCTTAAAAGAAAAAAATAATGGCAGCACAAAGTAGTTACTCAATAAATACTTGTTATCAAGGAAGACACAAGCTCTGCCCTCTGACTTGTTACCATGTCCATTTGTGCAAGCATTTAGGGACAGAACAGTGAGAAACCAGGAAGAAGAGGAAGACGTGCTCTATACTTCCAGGGGGAACAGACAAAATTATCTCAACTAATGATTCCTAAGTGATTTTGGGGCCATGTTTGTTGACTATAGATACTGTCCTAAAAGGAGCTTTTCTTTTCTTGTTTTAGGCCAACTGCCTAAAAGCCATTTGGAACCTGAGATTCCGGGGCGTGGTCCTTGGTGCTGCCCAACTCCTCTGGCTTGGTGTCTTTATCTCTGGTAAGCTTGAGATTATCTCTTCACTAGGTCCAGAATAATTTGGGCAGAGCCCAGAATAAATGGGAGAAGTCGAGGAGTCTGGCCAGTTGTAAATGGAAAAATTTCCAAGCCCAGATTCCTGGAACAAGAACACACTCAACACCATTATGCTCCTAGCAAAGGCTTCAGAAACAAACTGATACATCCGGACCATGGTAGATACAGGCCTGCAATACTTTTAGAGACACTAAATGTTTAAATTTCTTTAAAATAATTGCTTCAAGAAGATGTCGTAATATATAATGTCAATACGTTCATTTTTATATTACCTACATCTGTCAAAGTCCTAATGCAGTGCTGGCCACAAAGAATGAAATCTTAAGGTAAAACAAGACCAGAGTTCTCAGCGAGGAAGGTGGAAATGTGAGTGATCCCCACACAAGCACCATGAGAGAGGGTGGAGCAGAAACAAGGCGTTCTAAACAGGAAAGAGGGCTATTGCCAGGCCTGACTGCCCACCAGAGAACCTCTTCCCTTGAGAACTGTCCTCCCTGCTCTGGTGAGGCCCCGCAAGCCGCAGAAACAGTCTTGAGCCTTTGTACTTCGGAAGGACACATTCTCTGTTTCATTGATATCACAAACACTCATAATGAAGGCCCTGTTTTAACAAGTGAGTAAGCAGGCATGGAGGAAGTGGGGTAATTTATCAAGGAGAAGCAGCCAGGAGAAGGGGAATGAGCATAATCCTGGGAACCCAGCTTCCTTCTAACCCTGGCTCTGCTACACCCTGCTGGGTGTCACTCATGCCGCAAATATTTACTTAATGTGTACTAAATGCCAAGGTCTCTGCTTGGTGCTAAGGACCCCAGATTTAAAAAGAGACCATAAGGAACTCCCAGTCCAGCAGCTCTGTCCATACCGCAGAGACAGGCCCTCTGAGAGATGGTGGTGGCGCAGTGGAGAAGGTAGGACAGGTACAGGTGGAGCCCGGAAGGAGAAATATCCGGCTTGCCTGGGCAGGTCAAGGAGAGCAGGAGCAGGAAGGTTTTCCAGGCACAGGCACAGCAGCAAGGCCACCTGCAAAGGCAGGGAGCTGGCAGTTCTGTGAGAGTAACAATGTAAATAACAAAGTGGCAAAATACCGGCCTGCAAGTAGGTCCACATTATTGGGGGTCCCTGTGAAAAAGTAAGCCCTGATGCAAGACATTTTAGGTCAATAAATCTGAGCTTGGGAAACTTACATAATACGTCGCCTTCATTTGTAAAGCAGAGGTGAAAATTCAATGACCTCTAAGTTTCCTTCCAAAAAATAGCACACATTTGAGGTGCATTATGGCTACACTCAGTTTGGGCACCTGATCATTTTTACTCCCACTTTTCTCCACCCCTCTCCATCTTTCCTCATATTCCTTCCCCATTTCCATAGAGTCCTCTTTCCTGTTTTTTTTTTTTAACCATCTCTTTTGTATTTTGTTCTTTTAACTATATCTTGGATATTGCGTATTAGAAAAACTATGTGACATTTAGTCTTTGGTGTCTGATTTATTTCACTAAGTACTATGGTCCTGGGGTGCATCCGTTTTCCTGTGTATGATTTAAAGTTATCATTTTTATGGTTGAATAGTATTCCACAGATGCGCGTTTAGAATCACAGCCTCCTTCTGGGCAGGGATACTAACGTGGTCTTCATCCTTCTCCACTCCAGAGCCAACTAACCGGATGGAAGTGGCAGCATGGACCTATAATTACACTGCAAAAGCGTACACGTGGAATTACTCCCGGATATTCTGTCAGAGGCACTTCACAGACTTAGTGGCCATCCAGAACAAAAATGAAATTGCCCACCTCAATGAAGTCATACCCTTCTACAGCTCGTACTACTGGATTGGGATCCGAAAGATCAATAATACTTGGACCTGGGTGGGAACCAAAAAGCCCCTCACAGAGGAGGCTGAGAACTGGGCCGACAATGAGCCCAACAACAAGGGGAACAACCAGGACTGTGTGGAGATGTACATCAAGAGGAAGGATGCGCTGGGCAAATGGAACGACGAGCCCTGCTCTAAAAGGAAGCGGGCCTTGTGCTACACAGGTGAGGCCCTCTCCTTGGAGTCGTACCCAGTAAAATGCTAGGTCTGCCCAGCTGCTGATAGGGACCACTGAGGCAGGGACACAAAGCCCAGCTGTAACCTGTTAGGCAGCGTGATGGAGCACCTTGCAGAATCTAACCACATGATTTGCTCAGCATTTTCATAAGACAATTTGAGAACGTGACCAAGGATCACAAAGGCTTTGCAGATCATCCAAGGCAAGACAGCTCCAGGTTCCCTGAACTCTTGTAGGAGGCAGGAGTCCAGGATAGGGAAGCTCTGAAGGTGTGAGCACACGAGGGTGCTTGATGTCATCCTCTCCCAGGTCCAGAGTTGCAAACGTGCAGGAAAGCACAGTCCTCCTGCAGCCACAAGCCTTTGACAGCATCTTCCTGATATTTCCAGGGGCGGGGGTGGGGCTGTCCTTTGTGTTACACGATGCTATGGCAGGGAAGATCTGAACTTTTTCCTGAGCAAAGGAGTTGTGAATACAGTGCTCAGAAGGATCTCTGATAAATCATCTCACAGATGCTATTCTCTGCTATATATGTTCTAAACTCTTTAGATTTTGCCATTCAGAGGTGCTCAACAATACACAGTACTACACAGAACAGAGCATAAAGCATTCTCTCCATTTTTTCTCTTCTCACCCAAGCTTTCCAAGTAAGGGAAACATGCTGTGAATTCCTTGTCCTGTAATCAGGAATTGTTTTATAAATAATATGTTCGTGCACTAATTAAATAATAGCCATTCATAGGATATGAGCTCATTTTAAGGTTGGCTCTGATCTTTCTTGGGCTATGTCTCCCTACAAGCATGGCAATATGAGGCTAGGGACTACTGTGGAGGAAATGACCTGAAAATGGTCCAACACCCACTCTGACCTCATAAGTGAAAAAAGCCAGTAATAATATTTCCAGTGCACTCATAGTTTCAGTTCTAATGCTCAACTTCTACCAAATGTGTTGACCTGCAACCAGTCTCTCAAGGAAGAAACATGCTCCTTCTCTATCCTACCTCAGTGTCACAGTCAGCCAGGTGAGGTTGCTGGCATGTCAGCCAGGGACTGTACGATCTAAACACAACATGCTTAGTAAGGTGACATATTTAGACCTATAAAACCTCCTAAGACTTTGCCTAGGGGAGGACTAAGCATCACATTTGGCTTCTCTGCTCTACTATTGTAGGATACTGGGCATAGATTTGAAGCAGGCAAACAAAAAGTGGAAGGGGTTAGGTTCTAACACTGGGCAAGTTGTGCTCAGAGAAGTAACTTATTGACGATCATGCAAAGACCAGGCAGCAAAGCCATGTTCAGAGCCTCAGAGTGTGGTCCCTCCTCCTCTATCCGGCTCCTTATCTCTATGCTACAACATCTGACATAGGCAAGAATCCTCTTGTTTAGAAAACTGCAAGCCAAACATACCATACAGCAGAGCTTCCCTGTCCAGACAGCGTTCTGTGGCTCCATTCATCCTCCTGTGTCCACACACAGCAGTGTTCCCTTAGGAAATGCTAAATGCACCAGGAGCCAATGGTCCTCCAGCAAACTCCTGCAGTGCTTTTTGCAGGGGCCAAGTAGACTCTGGAGATGACACTGTCACTGGCTGTTGTCCAGCTAGCTCAGTCCTGCCTGAGAGGCGCGAAGTCTATGCCCATCTCAGTAATGCCCATGGTTCTGACTCATCTGTACCCCTGCAGCCTCCTGCCAGCCTACATCCTGCAGCCAACAAGGGGAGTGCATTGAGACCATCGGGAACTACACCTGCTCCTGCTACCCAGGCTTCTATGGACCAGAGTGTGAATACGGTGAGGCTGCTGTTTTGCTGGTAATGTTTTGGCTAGCGGGCTAATGCCAGAGATGATGCCGGGAAATAAATCCCGTTGGATGCTTCAGACTATTTTGCCTGTCTGCTCCATTCAACAGTCACTAGACAGTCTGGGTGAAATTACTTTACTCTTGCAGAGACTCTTCACTCAAGGAAGGAAGAGGCAGTACACATCAGTAATCCCGGCTGTCCTAGAGGACAAGGCAGGAAATATTACAAGTCCGAACCTAGCATGGGGGAACTTAGAGACTTACTGAGACCCTGTCTTAAAACAAAACAAAAACAAACAAAAAGCCTGTAGATGTAGCTTGGCACAGGGCTTGGCTTCAATTCTCAATATCCCGCCCCCAAAAATTACTCATAAAATTTCCAACCAAAAGGAAAATATAAAAATGGCAAAACTAAGAGAAACTTGTCAGGCTAATTTTACATGACTGCAAGTTAAAAAACAGCAGAAGAATGACTATTTCCCCGACGTGCAGACAATGCAAAAGAGCCAAGTTACAACGGGCAGCTTGGGGTAAAAGCCTAGCAGTGCAGGGGGAAGGGAGTTACATGGTTAGTTACTGCCTGCAGCAAATCTGACCTGCCTCTCAGTCTACACTGGAAAGAAAACTTCATCATTTTGTTCCCCACAGTTAAAGAGTGCGGTGCATTTGACCTTCCCAGACACGTATCCATGAATTGCGACCACCCCCTGGGCAGTTTCTCTTTCAACTCAGAGTGCACTTTCCAGTGCGCTGAAGGGTACGAGCTGGCCGGACCCAGAGGGACGAAATGTCTGGCTTCTGGGATGTGGACCGATAAGCCTCCACAGTGTGTAGGTAGGTACACCTTCTCTATCCATCCTCACTGGGAAGGGGGACTTTAAAGGAGGGGGAACAAGCTTTCTCCCTCCCAAACTGGGAGAAATAACGAAAATCTACATTCAATGGACAGGTCTAGTTGTCATTGCTATTTGTCAACCAGAAGGACACAAATTTTTTTTTAAGGTATTTTGTAATTAATTGAACCTACAGTTCAATTCTTGATTCTCTTTTGCCTTTTTATCAGTCACAAAAGGAGCAGAGTACAGGGATGAGGACTTAGTCATTGGGTAATTAATTAGATAAATTAATCCTGGCCTCCTTAAATGAAAATCAAGGGTGTCTGGATCTTTGAAAAGGGCTGTTTAAAATCCCATCTCAGAACCAAGCCTGCCGCTTGGGAAAGCAGCTTCTGCGGCATCCTAAGGCTTCCAAGGCGCTGGGCATGCCTTGCCCATCGATTCCCATCACCACTCTGGAAGCCCAACCTGTCCTCACTCTGCAGAAGTGTCCCTGAACCAGCCGAGTGTAGCTTCAGTCACAAAGAAAGGTTTGCAGTTGGGCCAGAGGTGATACAGTGCAGAGCTTCAGGTTATGGAACCCGCAGGCCCCGGATGAAGGGGGGCATCAGGACCTAGGACATAGCTACACTACTTGCTGAGACAGTGGATAAAACTGGTTATCTTATGGAGAAGGTGGCCTGAATTGCCAAAATTTAATTCCCTTCCACCTGCCAGTAGGTAGTTGGGTAAATCTAGGATGAGAAAATGATATTGGACTAAAAAACAAGAGGCTGATTTTGCTAGGAACAAAATGAAACAGTGTTCTCTACTCCCAAACTCAACACACAAACAGTTTCAGAATGGCCTCATTCATAGATTCCACATGAGAGGAAAGAGGGTAGCATCCACATCTGTAAATAGACACCAGAAGACCTATTGGGGCAGGTCTATAAGGGTTTCAGAAATAAAGGATATTAAGAATAGAGCTTGGGCTGGGGATACAGCTAAGTGGCACAGTTCCTGACTGACAAGTGCAGGGTCCTGAGTTCGATTCTCAGTACAAAATTTTTTTTTTCAAAATAACCACAAAGAATAGAGCTTGGAAGCCTGATATGGTGGTGTATGCCTGTAATCCTAGCACTTTGGGAGGATGAGGTCATTTAGAAAGAACTCGTCTCAAAAGAAACTTTAGAGAATGTTTTAATAAAGGCTAGCGATGTAGTTCAGTGCAAAGGCCCTAGGTTCAACTCCTTATGCCAGCACTAGAAGTAGAGGAAGGAGGGAGGGAGAGAGGAGGAAAAGGAGTAAAGAAGGAAGGAAGCAAGGAAAAGTGGAGCTTGGGGGCAATCTGTGCTTTTAGGAGATCTGAGTCATGCAGACGATAGTCCTCCCTGTCTGGACAGTGGGGGACTCCTGACCCTTTGATCTTCTGAGCCCCATCTCCGCTTATTCAGGTAGTTCCTTTGGGGTATAGTTTTTCCTCATTCTCAGTGCTTTTCTCTTTGTCCTTTGTTGTTCTTTCCAGCTGTGCAGTGTCAGCACTTGGAAGCCCCTGGCAGTGGAACCATGGACTGTGAACACCCACTTGCCCCCTTTGCATATGGCTCCAGCTGCAAATTTAGGTGCCAACCTGGCTACCAAGTGAGAGGCGTGGACACACTCCATTGTGTTGGCTCTGGCCAGTGGACCGCACCCTTACCAGCCTGTGAAGGTAGGAATCTACTTTAGGGGCTCTCGGTACATCCTTGAAGGAATCATGGTACAGTAGAAAGACCAAGGCCTCTTAACATCAGAGCGACCTTTGCTGAGAGCAGAGCCAGAAAACTACTCCCCTGTGAAATGGAGCTAAAAATTGCAAGGTGCAGTGGGAGGATTAAGTATGTAAAAAGAGTACAGTGAAATAGCATGCACAGAGTGATAGCACAGAGAGGCACTCAGTGAAGTTTAGTTTCTGACTTGTCTTCCGCACATCCAAGCTGCAGGACAATGCCCTACATTTGAGAGGAGTAAGTACAGTGACTATTAAGACAGAAAGAGATTTCCAATCACAGACTTTGGACGCTGCCTTTGGTAAAGGTGCAGAAAAACACTGCATTTAAGAAGAGCATGTGAGGCAATCCTAAGCAGTTAAATAATACCACAGAACTGAATTCTGCAATTGCTTCATACCCTCGACTTATAAGGCAGAGGAAGGGAAGAAGGTAGTAGGAAAATGCAGATTGGAATTAGTGAATTCTCAGACCGAGAGCAAGAGTCCAGCTCTGGGATCATTAGCTATGGGATTTTAGGGAGGTCATTTAATACTACTGAATACTACTGAATTGCACTTTTCTCATCTGGAAAGCAAGAGAGTTGTACTGGCAGATCTTTGGTCCTTAAATGCCTTAATTCTATAAAGCTGGAGGCCAAAACCCAGGGTGAAAACCTGCAAAATTCCAGGCATAGCCTGGATCTGAAAGGTCTCCAAGGGCAAGCACAGGAAAACTGCATGTTTTCAAAACCTAGGTCAGCCAGAGTGTAACTGCTCTCAGGAACTCACTCTGGGCTGTGCTCATTTGGCAACTGAGGTCTGATTAGGATGACATCCTGTGCTCCAACTTCACCTTTTCCTTACAAAACCAGCCTTTTTCTGTGCCTGTTCTTTCCAATCCAGTAAATATGTCACTCCATGTAGAATGGACACATTTGATGTACCCAACCCTGAGCTAGGCTCTGGAATATGACTCTGAATGACAGTGTTAAGAAACTGTGGGGTACGGGTGTGAACAGCACAAGAGCGGGGGCCTTGGGAATGCACTGGGAAGCTCCTTCCCCTAATCTGGGTGGCAGGAAAGGCTTCCTAAGGAGGCGAATTCTGAGCTGAGACCAGGGCAGGTGAGAGTGAGCCAGGCAGAGGGCATACAAGGTCACATTTCTTTTTGAAAAGGAAGGATTTAAGGTTTTGATAACGTGGGTAGGAAAGACAGCATCTCCCAGAAGACTCTTCTGGAAAAGAAATGGGCCCTTCCTTTCCTGACCCGGCTTCCAACAACCTATTCCCTTCAGCCGTCACATGCAGCCCATTGGGGAGCCCCGTCCACGGAGGTGTGCACTGCTCGTCATCCTCAGCAGCGTTTCAGTACAACACCAGCTGCAGCTTCCACTGTGCAGAGGGCTTCATGCTGAGCGGAGCAGGTGTCCTTCGCTGTGGTGACTTGGGACAGTGGTCAGCACCAGCCCCAGTCTGCCAAGGTACTGTGACACTGCCACCCTTCTGTGCTTTCCAGGCACTAAGAGCATCGCTAGCTGTGTTTAGCACTGCCACTGGCTTATGAGACATTTGCGGAGACCTACTCTGGGCCAGGCCTTTTGGGCTCAGCACTAGGATCACACTGGTCAGCAAAGCCAGTCTCAGGCACAACGTGTTCATGACAGAGTAGTCAAGGTCAGGGTCGTTGGATTGAAGGGACAGAGTTAGTAGAGGAGATGGAGATGAGGGAAAGGAGTGACTCAGGAGGAACAGTACGGGGTGGGGAAGAGGAATACACAAGGCATTTGGTCCCGGTCTGTCATTCTGGTCGCTAAGCTTCTGGACTCTCTGAGGCTCATAATCTTCTGCAAAATGGGGACACTATTACCTGCCGTACTTTCCAAGCTCACTGGTTGTTGTAAATCAATGTATAAAAGCAACTTTAAAAGTCTATCAGCTGTATATATATTAAGGAAATGATATGATACTGTTAGTTTATAAGTCATACGTCTGTGACTGATTTGACAAACTGATTCTCTTTCAGTGCCTCATGTTTGCAGTGTTTTGCTCTTACCCAAGAACTCCAGCACAGGGAATTCTCTAGGATTGTTTAGTTACACACTGTATCCCACACAGTGTAGTAAACTATTGGAATTTCATGTTGTCCTTTAGTGAGACCTCTCAGCAAGCCATGCATTCCCTGCTTTATATCTATCCTGATTTTAAAATGAAGCAGTGGTGTGCAAAGCATTTTGGATGAGATATTTGTATGCCCATGTTCATAGCAGCATCATTCTGGGTATTTAAGATGTGAAAGCCACCCCAGGAAAACCAGTAGATGAATGGAAATACAAATGTGCTACCCACAGTGGAATAGTATTCAGCCTTAGAAAGAAAAGGAATTCTGACACATGATGCAAAGCAAACGAACATTAAGCACAATTATACTAAGTGAAATAAACCAGTTCCCCCAAAACAAGTACCATATGATCGTGCTTACAAGGGTTTATCACAAAATACAGTGCGCATTTAAATTTAAAAGAAACAGTAAGACACATTGCCGTTAATTCTTCTCAGAATACTTCCCTTTACTTCAAACTTATTTATCCTATCATCCTTGATATTTTCTGAAACAGTTTACAAGTTCTTTTTTGTGTGTCTTTATGAGATGTGATTAAAAAAAACAAAACCAAACTGTGAGTGCTGCTGCTGAGTACCATCCAGCAGAAAGGCAGGCTGTAAAATCGTCACGCTCTGCTCTGTCCTCACCACCTTATTCGTCAGGTTTGGAACTGTGTGACTTCCACTCCCCAAAGTCAAACGACCGTGGAAGTGAATATTTTGAATCCTTCAGTAGTACATCAAGGCATATAATGCAACTAAAGCCACAGAAAGAGGACTCTCAGGACTGCTTCAAAATGTCAAAGATGGTGGAATAAGTATTTTTGAAGGAAAAGGGAGTATTTTGAGGATTACTTTTATTGTAACATGTTTTTAAAAAATTTAATATTCACTGTATTTTTCTATTGCAACTCAGAGAGTGCATGTCTTCTCCATATGTGAGCATCTATTTTACATGATTAAAGTCATGGTGTAATTCATTATGTTCACTATTTTTATTCTTTTTTTTTTTTCATTTAACGTCATACATTGAGATATGTCCCCTATCTTTCCAAAGTGAAATACATAATTTTAAGAGACCATTAATATTCTTTTCAGAGATCACTATAATTTATTTGCTGCTTTAGATTAGTGGTATTTATCCTTGTTTTCAATATTTTGCTTCTACAAATAATACATTGATGAAATCTGTGAGTTGATTTTTGACATCCATTTTCATTATACTTAGCAGAGATTCTTGGGTTCAACAGTATGGTAATTTAAGAATTATACATATATATTACCACAACACTCATTACTGGTTCAATATTTTCCATATAAAATCCTCCAACTGTCATTGAATGATACATTTTTCATTTGCCAAGATTAGCAAGTTCAACTGAGGAAGCCCTGTTCTTGACACTGGAAAAGATCAGTGTGTCAAAACCAATAAATACTTATATACTACTGCTCCCTCACGCCTGCATTTCTTCACCCCTTAGCTTTGCAGTGCCAGGAAGTCTCTGCTCCAAGCAAGGCCCAGATGAACTGTTCCCACCCCTTCGGTGCCTTTCGGTACGGGTCAGTCTGCGACTTCACCTGTGACGAAGGCTCGCTCCTGGTGGGGGCAAGTACACTGCAGTGCTTGGCTACTGGACACTGGAGTGCTGCCCCTCCAGCGTGCCAAGGTAAGAGGACATTCCTTCCAACCTCTTAGAAATCACCTGGAGGCAATGCTTTTAAAGGCTGTATTTTAGAGTTAAAGATAGCATCTGGAAAGAAGGAGGAGAAACAGTTTCGGGGTGTTTGTCCCGTGGCTCATCTGGCACTCGCCTCTAGGAGCCATGGGGAGGGGCAGAGTTTACAGGAGTCTCCTTGAAACATACTGGGAGACCTGTCAGGATAACACTGGAGAAGCATACTTAGGATAAAGAGGAGGAGGGTGGACAGAGAAAGAATCTCCTCCGTAAACGAGAGGCTGCAGGATTCACAGAACAAAGAAACAAGTAGATCAAATGTATTTAGACCTGCCTTGCATTCGATATTTACAAGTCAGTGTGTTCTAGCACTATCGTAACATCCTGTATGAAGCGGAGTGAGTTTTCATCATCTGTATTTAGATGTATATTTTTATGGTCTCCATTCACTTTTTTACTCATTTATCTAACTCTTTAGTTACATTTATGGCAAAGACTGATCTTTTATTTTTTACAAAGCAAGATTTCCACTTATAAAATCCACAGAAAGATAAGAAAATAGAAAAATGAAGATATTCTCTTAAATATCGCCACCCTTGCAAAATTAGCATTTTGGTATGAATTCTTCTGATTAATGCCCCCTCACTGCCATGAAATTGGTGTTTTTATCGTATATGTATATATCTATACACACAATTTTAATAATAAAATTGAATGTGTAAAAGATAAAATATTTCATCATTTTTGGCCATAGCTTTCGCTTTGTACAGAGTTTTGATATTAGTGAAAGCAGGCAGATTTATGTTTTCTAAGAAGAGGAAACCGCTTGCTATTCAGGTCACATGCAAGTTCGCGTGTGTGCCCACATGCGCACACACACACCCCACACACTGTTAGGTCCCCCCACACTGAATAACTGAGTTAATTAATGAAAAAATGGCCAAATGAGCACAGCAAATAGAATGTCTTTCACCTGTGGGTCCAGGGGGTATGGCAAACCACAGAGTTGAGGAGCGACCCAGTTCTGTGTCTGGAGAGAACTGGTGAGGCTGTGACCTCATCCTTCAGCCTCACCTTGGCCACGTGAAGCCCTGCTATGTGACAAAGTCCACACAGCCCTGGGAAAAATCTGGGAGACCCCGGGAGGGCTGTCACAGAGATGGTGGCCCTTCTGGGAAATGCTGGCTGTGCAGGGCAGGGATTACTCCATCCTGTCCTGCAGGGGGTATTTCACAGAAATGTGGTTGCCACTCACCCCAGCTTCCTGTGACCTTCCAGTTACCTTCTGCTTTTCACATTTTGTTTACTCTGATCTTTCTCCTGCTGTTTCTGGGTGTGCATTAAATGCAATACCCAAGTGTGGTCTGCACAGGAAGGGACCCTGAGACTTGTAATCCACTTGCTGGCTGTCGCAACATTCCTGACCCTGTTATCAGACAATTTCTCTTTTCACGCCCCTCCCGATCCTCTCCACAGTCACCTGTGCCTGGCAAAGACAAAGCCCCAAGAGCCATAACACCCGAATATTCCCAGTCCCATCTGATCTTGGGAGCTAAACAGGGTTGTGCTTGGTTAGTACTTGAATGGGAGGCTAATGTAGCTAGAAAGGGCAAGGGAAGGGAAGGATACACAAAATGCTCTCAAAACCTTATGCCGTGTAGGCAGTGATTGAAAAATGGTCCTAGGACAGATCTCACCGCCGTCTCTGGCTTGAAGCCACATCTTGTCCACCAGGACAGACAATGAAGACAGATATCTGAAACCATATGTTCAGTTACTCTTTGCTTTTTAATGTTAATGTGCTTAACCTGGCCTTATTGTTTCATTATTAGTAGAGGGACAGCTTGACAGGTTATTAACATTTGCATCAAGAGTGTTTTCATATTTGATTCTAGTAAGAATCCTGGGAGCTATGTAATTCTAGTTCCCCTATTTGGAGAACTTGAAATTCAGACTGGTTAAGTGAGCTGCCTAAAATCACACAGCATGATCACCAACACAAGCAAGTCCCCTAGCAACTAAAACTTTATGCACTGTGGCAAAACAAAAACAAAATGAAGTGAAACAAAAACCCCAGGAGGCCTACCTTTTTGTAAGTGAACAAGTAAAATCATTTCCATTAGGAAGAGGTGGAAATTGACATTTGAAAACAGTTGATGAATTATGTGCCTACTTGTAGTCATGATTATTTTATTGTACTTTAAATTTAATTTTTATGTGGATTAATTAACTTGTTATATAGCTAAATCTACCTACAAGGCAAGAATTATATTTTTTCCTATGTCAGAGATGAAGCAACCAAGACATAGAATGTAGTGTGCAGATACATTGCTAGACATTACTAGCAAATAACAATGCAGACCTAGATTCTCTCCACTATTTGGTTGGGGAGAGGAGAGAAAGTAATTCACTCCATTTTTCTATTTCCATTCACTTGTCATTGTTTTCTGGTCGGGTTGCTAGCTCTGTGTTTGAAGGAGGTGTCAGGGGCAACCACTTCAGAAACTCCTATTCAGGGCAGCCAAGAGAAGCTGCACCACTATCTCTGCACACACAGCTCCAAATGCCTCCTAAAATCCCCTTTGGAGCTCTGTCATGGCATTTCTGAGCATCAATCAACTGTTAGGTGCTGTAGGATAGCTGCATAACCTCTACCAGAAAACTGGAGTACTCACCTTTACCCAGTGCTGTTGCGCTTGTGTGTTTAGTCTCTCTCTCTCTCTCTCTGTCTGTCTCTCTCTCTGTCTGTCTCTCTCTCTGTCTCTCTCTCTCTCTCTGTCTCTCTCTCTCTCTCTGTCTCTCTCTCTCTCTCTCTCTCTCTCTCTCTCTCTCTCCCTCTCCCTCCCCTCCCCTGCGCCTTTGGTGTCAGGCTGTGGAGTATTAACCTGCTCTCTCCTCTCCCCTGCCATGCCTACTGCAGCCACTTCCTGCGCCCCCTTGCTAAGCCCTCAGCATGGAATGGTGAGCTGCATCCAGCCTCTCAGGAGCGCTAGTTACAAATCCACATGCCACTTCACCTGTGATGAGGGATTCTCTTTATCCGGATCAGAAAGAGTGGACTGTACTCCGTCTGGACAGTGGACAGGCTCCCCACCCACGTGCACAGGTAGGGTCTGGGTCTGTTCCTTCTTACAGCTTATCAGGCAACACGAGGAGGGAGCAGCATCAGAGAGTCAGATGTGTTCTTAAGCTAAGGCGTGGCAGTATAGACAGACCAGGGGGTGTTTCTGTCTCAGTCTCTCTGTCTATATCTCTCTCTTCCTCTCTCTTCCTCCTTCTCTCTTTCCTGAATGATCCTTAATACACTGAGATAAATATTTCACAGTTTTATGAAGTACTTTTGTATCATCGTAACCCATGATGTTAACCGCATTTTATAGAGGAGAAAGAAACACAGACTCAGGTATGTTAGGTCGTTTGTCTGAGGTCACACAGTTAGAAAGTGATAAAGCTCAACTATTGCACTGAAACTTAATTTTGTTAGACAGCCTTTTTTTCTGTTACACCATTCATTCATTCATATGCACATCTGTACTGAGCCCTTGGTCCCACACACTGAGCTTTCAGGATGGCTGTGATTTAACTATAGATTACCTGTACGCTGACACAGTCCTCCAGTTCTCTATGGGTTACAGCACTTGAGGACAGGAGCTGCTCCTCCTTGTTCATGTCCTCTGCAGCTTCTAGACAAAATAGAGTGGCTCTTACAAACATCTGCTCTACTGAAGCTTACCATTTACCTTAAAATTTCCTCAAGCATAAGCCCTACTGACCATGAGTTCATGAAGTCTTTAAAGGCAGAGGTGAATCCTGTGTATCTTATCGACCCAAACACCTGGCCAGTACAACGTCCAGCTTAGTGCATAGGCTGCCACACCTCCCATTAGCATTGAAAGACATCATTGGTGTTTCATTGCATTCTTCAATGTAGTCAATAATAACAAGACTGGAATTAATAGCTAATATTGCTTGTGTAGTATTAGCTGTTTATGGGAATTTTCACATTCAGTCCACACAACCATTCCTCCCCTTAAAATTCTTACTATTATCTCCATTCTGAAGATGAAAGTGAGGCTTTGAGAGAATACATAGCTGGCAAAGACACATAGCTAGGAGTTATGAGGGCAGGGCTCACACCCAGGCCTGAGCGGAAGGTGTGTTCACTGTTACACTACACTGCCGCCCAGTGGCAAGGCTGGAATCCTGGGTCTGGCGCTAGGAAATTATTCTTTTCCATTCCATAGGCTGCAACCTTAACTGCTAAAATAAATCTTAGAAAAGCTAGTGTGTGGCAGTAGAAATACGTTCATATCCCATATTGATCTCCCTGGCCCCTCCCGCATCACAGGGCATTAAGGTCTTGCCACTCCCTGAGGTTTCAGTTTTAAAAATAAAAAGAAAAACTAAGAGGGGTGGGCAGGATCATGTCTGAGCCCTCTTCCCTAGTGAAGAACTCTGTAGGTTCCAGGGCATGGAATGCATCCATCTGCTGTGAAGTTTCACAACAAGCCACCCTCGAAACTGGAACATTAGAACTTGTGTTTCTTTGTTTTTTCATTCACTTTTCTCTCCAATTCATTCATTCCACTGACATTCATGAGGGACTCCGTTATCTGATACTCTGTTTTAAGGCCAAAGAATCAAAACTCCCTAAAAATACCTCATGAAAGTGTTGAATCATCTATGCAAACAGTATGGTTGCTAAATCCGTAATCTCTGAAGCCTCAATCTCCTTTCACTTCTGTCCAGTCCTCTCTTCCCCACAAGAAGTGGCATTTGCCTCTCCTCTATGGGTCCAGCTACCCCAGCCCTTCCCAGGGAGTAGAGCAGACCCTGAATGTGGACAATGCCCGTGGCCAAAGATGGATCTCAGAACTGTCAACCTTTATCCCGATTTTGAAATACAGTTTTTTGTTTTTGCCTATGTTCCTACTTCATTTTCCAAACTTATGTTCTAGATTTTGGCATATGCTTATTCTCTTTTCCCATACATCTGAGTCCTTGGATTTTTTTTTAAATCCCCACATCATCCTCAACAATCATCTATCAAAACAATTTTGAGGAGACACTAGGTGTGTAGATTAGAAATTCATGTATTCATCCACCTGGCATTTGGTTACTGAACACCCCCACACACATGGAGATCCTGCAGTGGTAACTAAGGGCAAGAAGGATAAATGATTCTTGGGTTTTACAAGCTTTCTGTCCACCACAAGAGGAAAGATATGAAAATGATATGGGAGTACATGAATTCAAACAAAACAGTGAGGTGTGCAGAGGGGAGTTTCAGCTACAGCGAAGAGCTCTGGCTTCAGAGGGCTATAACAAGTAGGATCTAATGGAAACTGAAGACATTCAGGGCAATGTGAGCCAAGGACACAGGTGGTATTCTCCAGGACTTAGCTATCTTGATCAGGAATTTTGAGCCTTCTTCTGCTGTGGAACTGTGGAAGAAAAACCAACCCAAGGATGCAAATAGAGGAAATGGTTTACAGCAGAAGGTGATCCTTACAGTTGTTAATGTGTTGAATTTGAGGGGAAGGCTGCGTATCCTAGGGAAAGTGGTCTCAGGCTGCAGGAAAGACAGACATGAAATTCTGAACTGTGGCCATTCAGATAACAGTTAGTATGAGCTGTGAGTTCTAGAGTGTGATTGCTTAAATTCTCCACTTCCTTTCTTTGTGACCCCTGTATGTTCTCCTCTCCACAAACCCACCATCCCTTCCTCCATAGTAAATGCCAGATGTTTAGCAGAACATCTGAAATATAGTAAGTTTTCAGTAAATATTTATCAAATATATGAGTGAACAAACTTTGTGAGTCACAGATCTTCTGAATAAACTTGGAGATTGTGACACTCTCAATTTGACATCACAGCCATCAAGTGCCCAGAACTCTTCGCTCCACAATGGGGCAGCCTGGATTGTTCTCACACTTATGGAGAATTCAGAGTTGGCTCCAGCTGCCGTTTCTCTTGTGACAAGGGCTTCAAGCTAGAGGGCTCAAGCGATGCAGAATGCACAGCTTCTGGAAGATGGTCAGTGCCCCTACCAACATGCAAAGGTAATAATAATAGATGTTCGCTGGGACTGTTCTACTCCTGTAAATTTTTTATGCAAAGATAAAAACTATGTACATAGTTCTTGTATATGACAGGTACATACTTTATACTACCATTTTGATATAGCACATCCAGCCTGTGAATTAAAAAATTTTCTAAGAAGCAACAGGACTTTCTTTAATGTTTGCAAACAAAAGACTAATTCTCATGCAAAACTTTTGTTGCATTTCTTTAACTTCTTTTGCTCAACTTTATTGGGCAAATTGAATGCTATCCATTACATTCTTCAAGTAATAGCTCAGAGAATAACAGGCCCAAGTTTTCAACAAAGGCACACAGGAGGCTGTCACATGGCAAGTTAATGACAAAGCCAGTGGCATCATTCACATTCTACCTTTCAGGTTGACCTTTGGCCAAAGAAGAGTATCACCTCCCAATGTAGCAGGGGAGGAGAGGTGATCGGCCTTTGTAAATTTGACACTGTACTGAATTGCTATGTTTCTCCACCAACTGCTCTGCTGCTTTTTTAAAAAAATAATTGGTAATATCGAAATTCTGTTTGTTTTTATGGCCACCATAATCATCTCTTCAAGGATACTTTTAAATACTTTTACTCACCTGGTTTTTTATCCCCAAAATTTATAGATAATAATTTTTTATAACTTTCTGATTGCTAGCATGTCCCTTCTTAGAAAGGAAAGAAGTGGAGGCAATTACTCTGTATTAGCCTTAACTTGGACATGCTCCTTTTAATTGGGTGTTCTCTGATTGCAACATTTTCTCATAACAGCTGTAGGGTTGACTCCTGCTGCTGTGGTACAATGTCCAGCCCTTGCCACTCCTGGACAGGGGACAATGCTCTGCAGGCATCATCTGGGAACCTTTGGTTTGAATACCACTTGTTACTTTGGATGCAAAGCTGGCTTCACACTGATAGGAGACAATGCTCTCAAATGCACACCTTCAGGACAATGGACAGCAGTGACCCCGGCATGCAGAGGTAAGGTCAGGGGAGCAATTCTAATGCATTGGGTCACACACTGTATCTGCCTATTGAAATCCCACCAAACCAAGCAACCACGGCAAGTGTCACATCCTCCACGAAATTCCACTGATCCCAGTCATAAATAACGAGCAGCAGGCCCATCTCCTGCCCTTCTTCCAGACCTGAGGAGAAAACTAATACAGATGTCCAAAGTATGTTAGAACTGAGCATGCTGACCATGAAGCAAAGTGTACACACCATGAAGTATAAGTTGTAATTTTTGAATTGGGTGACTGTATAACACTGCATATTCTAATAATTAGTAGCTAAATAGTTAAACCTGTTGAATGCCTCTTGCGACCAATTCCCGTACGTGGAGCATTGAGCCCCATGTCTCTTTTTCTTCACATCCTCCCAAAAGCACACTCAGAGCTTTACAAACATCACTACTGCTCAATATTTATTTGAATTAAATATAAGTTCTTGAGTTTTGCTGTCCTGACCATAAATTAGAATAATGTGAAGTTCCTGAAAAATAAAGAGATAATGGTCTCTACTTTTTCCAAACTGCCAGTATCCAGATGAACACTATAAATACTTATGAAATATTTGAATAATCACATGTTGACATGCCAGTTAATCACCAATGTATTAATAATGACCCTTAGAACAATAGTGTTTTTGAGAGACAAGGTAATAGTTATAAGTAGTATTTTTGGAGGCAAGATTAATCTATTAGCAGATATTTACTGGATGCTACTTCAGGTCTACCCATTATTTGACCAGCATTCTTTGAGTGGCTTCTTTCGTATGTGAGATACTAGAGAAGCTGAGATGAATATTGCAAATGGTTAATTTCCTTTCTGACCTTTGTGCCTTCTCCTTTGGCACTTAGCAATAGGTTGCAAGTGGAACAATAATCTCATTTACCTTCATTCTAAGCATTTGTTTCTCCTGCGTTCTTTATTCCTGAAGCCATCAAATGCCCTGACCTGCACATGGATCCTCCACTAGTGATGAACTGCTCCAATCCCTGGGGAAATTTCCACTATGGCTCGGACTGCACTTTCCACTGTCCAGAGGGTCAGTTACTTAATGGCTCTGCAAGAACAACGTGCCAAGACAATGGCCACTGGTCAGACACCATGCCCACCTGCCAAGGTACATGCCTCTTGCTTGAGGAAGCCAGCTCAATACGAAAAACACAAAATCTGTGTTTCTTCTCAAGATATTTCTCAAGTGATCTTCCTTTCCATCGCTGGGTTTCCCCTTATTAATAAATGTTTCACAATGAGTCAGACAGAATCTTCTTGCTTTATACAGAGCAATAGGAGTTCACTTCAGGGACTATGTACACAAATGCCACCCCCTTGAGTGCTCAGATGTATGATCTTCTCTTTTTATTATCATCTCTGTTGAACACATCTTGAAGTTTCAAACTGTGCTAAACTGGAGGTTTTTTGTTGAAAATATCTAATTCATTTTATTGGAAGACTTCTGTTTATCACCCTCCTCTGAAATGCCACAGATCTTCCTTAATTATGCTGTTTGCAAGCTTTATTTCAGTCACCAACTTCTCCCCATTTTATTCCCTTGAAGCTTGTTATGACTTCTTTTTGTTGTGTATCTCAATCTTTGATTGCCAAAACATTTACTCGTGCTTTGCTTTATTTCCTCAAACTTCCACATACAGATTTTTTTTGTGCCTGCAAATTAATTCCTTTATTGGGGCCCTACCCTGGCCTGTTCAGAAATTGTATTTGCTACTTAAGCTCTAGGAATACAACCTAGGCCTGAGTTCTACTCTGTTTGCAATCGATATATGGTTTCTAGATTCTCTTTCATGCCAGTTTATCAGCATAGGCAGGATCTTTGATGATCTTACTTGGTCTCATGCCTCAGAGTTCTTGGGACCCTTCTGGGCATGACTGGTCCTCTGCACAGATACTCATATCCCTGACTTATCTGTGTTTCTTTTGCAGAGGCGGCACTGACTGTCCAGGAAGCTCTGACTTATGCTGGTGGAGCAGTGGCTTCCACAACAGGTCTGGCCATGGGTGGGACACTCCTGGCTCTGCTAAGAAAGCGTCTCAGAAAAAAGGGTAAATAGTCTTCCTCTTGAATCTTTTTTTATGTGATTTTGGGATGGGTGACAGATTTGGAAATATTTTATGGAAAGCAAACAAGGCCAAGGTAAATGACCTAGAGGACTATGTACAATCAGAACCACCTGGGAAATTCATAAAAATACAGACACTTTTATAGGGACAGCTGGAACTGGGTCTATAAATCTGAATTTTTCAAATTCAGCTACCAAAAATTCTGGTGAGGCAGTTTTGCAGGTCAGCATTTGAGGTCCTCTGGAATCACCAAAACTAACTAAATAAGTGTTGTGTTTCTGTCCCTTGTTCATTCCTTCAAGTACCAGCCCTTTACAGATTACCCTGACAGGCAAAGGTACCCACTGTGATGGTTCCTGCCATCAAGGTATAAACCAGTAGTGGAGACAGACATTTTAAATTAGTGCACATACTAAAGAGGGGTGTGTGTGTGTATGATGACAAAAGTGTGTATGACCTGTCATTACCAGAACACAGAATAGCGTGGCTAAACCAGACTGCAAAGTCAGAACATTTTTCTCAAGCTTAGCTGTGAAGAATGAGAGGGATTTTGCCAATAGAGGAAAATGGAAATAGAGTTCCAGCAGAGAAAACGGAATATAAAAAGTCACAGATGAGTGCAATATCTGGGAGAATCATTCAACAGTTCAGTGTATCTGAGTTTAAAGGGGCTTAGGGAGGAAGCAGGCGATAAATTGAGAGCTGTAAAAGGGACTGCTGGGTAGCTTGTACATCTGCATTTTCTTCTGCACATTTGTGCAGTTGATGCAGGATTAAGCAATGAAGTGACCAAACTGATAGGACCCTCCATCAGGCAACTGTTCATCAGACGAAAGAGCTTTATCAAAAATAAAAGAAGGGAACCAACCATCTCTCAAGGCTTAAAACATCCTTTCTCAATCTGTTGTGACATCTAGCCTGCCCATAATTTCCTAAACTTGTCTATGAGATAATGTGGCTCTCTTTTTTATCATTCCTTTGAAAATGTGACTGGGGGAGGGGACGTAAAGAGAATTGAGATGGATCCTATACAGGTAGCAGGTGTCCCACAGTGAATGTAATCATTATGTAGTGCAAATATATGTTAATATCATAAAAGAAAAAAGTAACTAGGGGCATCAGAAGGGCAATGGATGCTTAAATCCAGGTGACCGACTGTGGCTATAAAATCATTACTACATTCAAGAGGTGCAACATCCATTCTTGTTGCTCAGTCAGGGATACTATTCTCCCCTCTTCTCACGCTCCATTCACAAAGCTACATCACACTGGGGCCGCTCTTCTAAAGCTCCTTTACATTTTCCCCATGTGTGGGTAACCAAGACAACAGACAAGTGGAAATGCTCTGTGTAAAGACCAGAAAGATGTATCAAGACCTACAATTAACGCTGCTGTGAAAATTTTCGCTTAGTTAACCAAACCCAGGAGGAGGAACAGTGCCTAAAACCTGGATCCTAACCTTTACGATCACTTAGGAATCACACTATTTCTTCCTGTTCACTCTTTCCTCCTACCTTACCTCCTTTCTTCCTTCTTTTTCTCCTCCTCCTTTTCTTCTCCTGCTCTTCTCCCTCCTCTTCCTTCCCTCCTCCTCCTTTTTTTCCTCCTCCTCCTCCCTCTCTCTCATCTTGCAGTGCAGCTCTGGCAGGACACAAACTTGCAATCTTCCTGACTCCTGAGTTTTCTTTTCTTTACTTTTAGACATCTGTAAGTTAGAAAAAGGGCTAGGAATCATCCACCCTTTGATAACTTAATAATACATAAATTCATTTTCCTGGACTTATCCTACTTAGTTTTCAGACTCCCCAATTTTCTCTGGCCAAATAATAGGAAAATGTCGCAACCATGTCTGAAAATACAACTCTCAGAGTCCTGCTTGGATTAAGACAGGAAAGGCTTTTCACATGTATTAGAGGGAAAGAACAGATGAACTAGGAATGCCACGGAGGACACAGCCACAAGGGCCCTTGAGAGCAAAGAAGCTGTAGGCCTCAGAGGTGTGAGAAGAGACATTTGTATTGAAAAGCAAGAGGAAGCAAGTGAGAGGACTCTGGAGTTAAATATTGCAAAATATTTAATTTAGCCTAAAACAATCCCTACCTTTCAGGGAAACATGGTTCCCAACACTTTCATGGAATAAATCTAACTAAAAATCAGACATTCCCCAATAATATCTATCACTAATGATTCTTCCTCTTCATATAATTTGTTTTCCTTTTAAACTTATCATTCATGTTTTCTCACTTATTTCAGATGATGGAAAATGTCCCCTGAGCCCTCAAAGGTAAGATGGAAGTGTTCTATAATTGGGTATATTTTGCTAGTTGAACTTTCTCATCCACTAAAGCAGGATAGTCATATAGTGTCTTAATCACTTACTCAGTGCTGGGACAAAATACCTGACACCCACAAGCTAAAGGAGGAAAGGTTTGTTTTTCTCACAGTATGTAGAGGCTTCAGTCCATAGTCAGCTGACTTGAGCGCAGGGTGGCATGGCATGATCAAAGAGAAGCAGTCCTGGCATGGCACACGGGAAGAGGGGAACTTGCTTCTTTCTTGTTTTATTCCACCCAGACAATTGCCTAAAGCCTAAAGCCTAAAGCCTATTGGTTTGTACCACTCATACCAGGGTTAATCGAATAGAAGCTTGCAGAATTCTTCCAGAAGAACTGCTATGAAGCAGCAGCCAGTTGGGCAGCCTGCTGGAGGATGCTGTATTAGGGGCACGAGCAGCATCACAGGCATAGCCCACAACTGCCTGATTTTCCAGAGTGCTAAACAACTTTGGCAAAGTGTTGTAAGGCTGTTATACTCTTCCCTCAATGCATGTAGCAATTTCATTTAAAAGATGCCAAAACGACTTAATTATATGTAGAGCAGATCAGTTCCAGGTTCAATGATTTTTGCTTACATCAACATTGAACAAATTTTGCAAAGTTACGTGAACCACAGGACAGTTCTTTAAAATCCTGTGCCTATTGGAACATCTAGTAACCTTAGTCCCTAGTAGTCAAGGGGGACAGTCCTACCATTTTTTGGAAACTGCTGTTAGAGTTATCTCTGTGACAGACTGTGTTGAGTACTAAGAAGTATATGTGTTTCTGTTCATCAGTCACCTAGGTACATATGGAGTCTTCACAAATACTGCGTTTGACCCAAACCCTTAAGGTAAGCTGCCTTGGAAGATTTTTTTTTTCATACTGGGAATTGAATCCAAAACCTTCATACTGAACTACATCCCACTGCCTTTTTTATTTTTTTTAAAAACAGGATCTCACTAAGGTGCGAAGTTGCCTAGGGTAGGCTAGAACTTGTGATCCTCCTGCCTCAGCTTCCCAGAGGGCTGGGATTAGAAGCATATGCAATAATACTTAGCTTTTCTTTAAAGAAATAGAACAATAAAATGCTTGTTTGTTTTACATAATCATGTATTTAGTTTTAATTCTGTACTACGTTTTCAGGCCATGAAGGAAATTATATTGGCAACAGGAGATAAATAGGACAACAGAGTAATAATAGGGAATTTGTTTAAATACCTCCATTCTCCAGGAGAGAAATTTTCTAAGGATATATAACTTATTCCAGGATGTGTGATGCTCTTGTTATTGGCTGCTATTTGGTATTGACACCGTGGTATTGCCGCACTGTACCTTATGCTACCTGCTGGGGAAACAGGGATAATCTGGTAACACCCTTAATTCAAATAATACAACATAGAGAGTTGAGTTTCCTAAGGAAAGTAGCTCAGATGGCGGAAAATCTGGAATCTAGGAAGAGATTATACTGAGCTTCAAGGGATAGATATGATGAAAGATTTCATGCTTTATTTCATTTTTTAAGGAAAAGATACTTACTTTCATTTCTTTGGTTTTATTTTCAGAGACATTCCCTTTTCCAGCGCACCTCATCCAGACTCTCAAGATCCTGCCAAAAACTTCCTGTTAGACTTGACTTCGTCTGTAGCACATCTGTTACAGGTTTCTGTACATATTGTGGATAAAGGAGAAGGACACTCCTTTAGATTTGCTCTGGACCAGAGCAGGAAGGACTGTGCCACACATTCTAGCCTCTCCACCCACCTTCTTCCTGAGACAGGAGCCACAGAAGCCAGGAGCAAATGTTTTGACTGTGGTCTGTGGACTTTGACCTGGCTGTCCTTGAAATATTAGTTACTCAAAGAGACTGGAGCATCGATTCTCTAGAAGACCAGACTATGGAGAAATGAAGGGAGACATCTCATTAATTTTGGATTGAAAGTAGGCATCTTCTATGCTGCTGGAAGGCAGGAGCATGTCTTACTTGAGAGAATTCCCATAGGATCTCCCAAGTCATCATCAGTCCCTGTCTCTGGGGACCCTTAAATGCTGCCGAAGTTTCTAGAGTAGCCTCTCGATGGCGCCAGAGGCTGTGAGAGACAAGAAGCACATGTTCCTGTGGAACTTCCCCCTCCACCGAAGAACCCAGAGACCAATATTCAAACCTACAGTTAAAGGCATTTCCCCACCCAATATCATATTCCTCTATTTATGTTCTGATCAATATGGTCTGTGTGTACCCCGTTGTTTGCCATCAATGTCACGCACAGTTACAATTGTCCCAGTTACGGTCCAATCGTTCAATGAGTTGGCAAATACATATCCACACCCCTGCTCCATGAGAAAATCAGGGGAGCAGAAAAAGCCTTCATCTTAATGTTCTACAGAACAGATGTATTTTATTGGTTATTTAAATCACATGTTTAATAAATATGTCACTGAAAATTACACTGTGCTTACCTGAAATTAATGCAGGTCTTAGTCAAACAATCAATCTTGTCTTGTTTCAAGGCAATGTAATCTGATGGCTATGTCAGGTAGACTGGGCACACATAAGTAAACACAAATGGAAATACTAAGAGGGTTAAATACCATGATCTTGCAGGTATTTTGGTAGCAACCTTCGGACTTAAGGACATGATACCAAAAGTTTCTCAGAGATGCTGCCAATAGCATCCTTGACTGTTTATTATGTATCAGTCACTAGGCTAGGTATTATGAAGACAATGGTTCCCAACCCGGTCCCTCAAGTCAGACTTGACACTTGTGAAAGCTCCTAGGGAATTTTCATGGTCTGACACCTTTGGGAACCACTGATTTTGTAGATATACAACTATAAGACATCCTTCCTTTTCTTAAGGAGCTTACAATCTACTTGGAGATTCAGTAAGCACTTGCACAATGATAAAGGGTAGCTGAATGCATGGTGCACACCTGTAATTCCAATACTCTGGGGGGATAGGAAAGAGGACCCCAAAATCAAGTCTAGCCTGTGCAATTTAGCAAGACTGTCTCTAGAACAGAACAGAATAGAATATAATATAATAGAAGAATACAATAGAATAAAAAATAAAACAATGAGTTGGGGATGTAGTTCAGTGCAAAGGCCCTGGGTCCAATTCTGGCACCTCCCACAAAAAAACCTAAAGGGTAATTATAATATGAACAGTAGTACTGGAATTCATAAAACAGAAAAGTCCAAACTGAGCCCAGAATCATGACTGCAGACTTTAAAAACTGAGCCAAGAAAGAGAGAAAGAAAGGGCATTCTAAGTGGAACACAATCCACAAATGAGCAGACAGACAGACAGACAGGGAATCCGCTGCTCCAGTGTGATGTCACTTCCTGAGATGTCACCAGGATACAACTGGCTGAATGCACTGACACCATACAGCACAGGCAGAAGCTCGGGTTGTCATGATGCTTCAGGTAACACATTTCTCAGATTCTTTCTCAACAGGAAAATAAAATTCAAGACAAGGCAAGACAGTAAGCTCCTTCCTGCAGACAAAAACATAATAAAAATAAACCCATGCTGTGTGCTCTATAAATGCTAGAGATCCTATATTAATAGGATCTTTATCCTCCCAATAATCCTAGCAAGAAAGATTGCTCTCCTCCCATCAGTTTGTGAGCGTTAAAACGGCACTGTAGGGGCGGGGATTTAGCTCAGCGGCATAAGGCCTGCCTTGCAAGCAGGCAGTGGTGAGTTTCGATCCCTGGAACCGATAAAAGAAAATAGGAAAAAGACAAAAAAAAAAATTAAAAACGGCATTGTAGTTAAAGACCTCATACCGGTAATGTGTGTACCCATGTTTATGGCAGCACAAATCACAGCAGCTAAATCTCCGAAGCAGCCAATAAGTCTATCAACAGATGAACAGATAAAGAAAACGTGGTATTTACCCACCTTGGAATACTATGCTGCCCTCTGCGATAAAGAAAGAGAATTTACAGGAAAATGAAAGCAACTTGAGGCCACAAGGTTAAGTGAAATAAATCACACAAGTTTAAATACCACACGGTTTTGCTTACACGAGAAGCCTAAAATATAAAGAGCGAAACAAAAGATAGATAATGGGAAATAGGGAAACAGATCTGTCTCAGATGGGAAGGGAAACAAGAGATGGAGGAAGGGGGAGGGAAGAATGGGGTGGACAGAGGTGAGGAAAGAGAAGGGAGCAGGAGGAAGGGGGAGGGGAGAAGGGGGGAGAAGGGGGAGGGAGGAGGGGGAGGGGAGAAGGGGGAGGGGGGAGAAGGGGGAGGGAGGAGAGGGGGAGAAGGGGGAGGGAGGAGGGGAGGGGAGGAGGGGGAGGGGAGGAGGGAACGAGGAAGGAATTAAAATGTGTGACATACATCGAACGTGAACGTTATGTGCTGCAAATACGTACTGATAAGATAAAATAATGCTAAATTAAAAATTGGGGGCCGGGGATGTAGCTCAGCGGCACCGTGCCTGCCTGGTAAGCACCAGGCCTTGGGTTCCATGGGGGCGGGGGAGCTCAGCTCAATCCAAAATTGGTTGCTTTGCCAGGGCGTCAATCTTTTACTAAAGAGGAAAGACATTAAAAGAAAAAAAAAAAAAAAGGACTGCACTCCAGAGAGGTGGAGTAACTTGCCCCACATCACACAGGAAGAAGCACTGCCCTCTGGACCACTGAGGACCGCAGCCGGACCCCCGGTGACCCGGCCTGGGCCCAGAGCTGCGCCTCGGTAAAGTGACAGGCGGGAGGCGTCCTCCGGGCTGTGGGTGGAGAGCACCCAGGAACAGAGCACCGACTCCGGGCGATCGCGGTCCCGGTCCCCCGCAGGAATCCGAGCTTCCGACCTCCGGCAGGCGGCCCGCGCTGCGGGCGGAGGGCGAGGGCGGGCGTGGGAGGAAGCCGGGCACTGTCCCCGGGAGGGTGGCACCGCCGCCGTGCTGCGCGCCCTGCCTGATCATTACCTCTTGTCATGGGGCAGTGACCCCGATTCCCGCGGGGAGCAGCCCCAACGGCGTGGAGGGACCAGGCTGAGGTCGCAGACGGCCGGCACCGCCGAGGATCATGTCTCCGGGCCGCGCGCACCTCTGGGTGCTGCTGGCTCTGGGCGCCAGCCTGGCGGGCTGGGGCGTCCGCGCGGGCCCTGCGGGGGTGCTCAGGCAGTTCTACGTGGCGGCGCAGAAGATCAGCTGGACCTACCGTCCGGATCCCCCAGACCCCAGGTAACCGGGTTGGGGTTGGGGGGTAGAGTAGGTGGTGCCTAGACAGAAGACGGACTGACTGACCGATTTCAGGTAAAGGCACCTAAATGCAGTTAATAAGGTATGCTCGATGGGCTTATTTCGTTCATTAGACTTGCTAATTCTGCCTCTGCCCCTACAGTCCATCCTTCTGAAGATGTAGAGAAGATCCAGGTTGGGTTTGTCAAATGCTTTTGTTTACCGGGATAGCACGCTTATTTGTTACCACGCTTAATTTGTTACTAAGCTTAGTTTTGTTGGTGATTCAGAAGCCCCAGCCTCTGGCTCCTTCGTGAGAGCCTGCCTACCAAGTCCTGCTTTGGCGTTCTGAGAGTCTGCCATTTGTGTGGAACTTGTAACTAAGTAGCCTCTAGTCTCCAACTACTGAGCATCTTGCAAAAGGAAAGATGCGTGTACTCCACACTTTGCAAGAAGCAGCTAAGTAACAACTGCCATAGCGTCTTTTTTTTTTTTTTTTTTTTTTTTTGTCTTTTTCCTTTTTATCGGTACCAGGGATCGAACTCACGACTGCCTGCTTACAAGGCAGGCGCTTATGCCGCTGAGCTAAATCCCCAGCCCTGCCATAGCGTCTTACAAGTGACTTTGACAATGAAGCAGCACTCGTTGGGCTGTATCTCTTTGACTTACTCATGGCTCTTTAATATGATCTTCATTTTTAAAATCATTTCCTGGAATATGGTTTCCCCTGGATATTTTGGTAAAACCACTATTAAAAGGCAAATGTAACTAGGAAGGCTTAAATAATCTTTGAGTTACAAACTGTATTTTTCTACTTGAAAGGTTTAAAAATAAGACTTCCCAGAAAATAAGTCATAGGGTCATTCAATATTTCCAGTTAGTTTTATTTTTAAAGTTGTTTTGAGTGGTAAACCTCCTACTGCGAGTAATTTGCTTTTTTAAAAAACTTAACAAGGCAGTTTAAATGATTGTGAAACACGGGTTCCTCTTTTAGAACGACAAAACCAAAGTAATTTGCCAAAAAAGTAGTATTTTTGACCATCTTTGTTTAGTGTATTAAACCTTGCAAAAATGTCACTAGAACAGGTTATTTTGGTGGGTGTTACATTCTATCTTGGTTTTAGAAAAAGAAATTTCTCGTTTTATAAATAATGATTTTTAAATATTGCATTTCAAAGTGTTAATCTAAGCAATACCCAAACCATTCAGGAACTTCCATTAACTAAACCCCCAAACAAAATTACACAATCTTTTCAATACTAAAGTTGCCTGTTCATAGATAGAACATATACTCTCTGGAGGGACTTTCTTGTAACATGTTGTATTTATTATTTGGGAGAAGGGGAGGTACTGGGGAGGTCAAAGGATACAAAGTTAAAGATAACAAAGCTAGCCCTGCATGGTAGTTCAAATTTGCAATCTCTGGGAGGCTAAAGCAAGATCACAGTTCCAGCCCACCTCAGGCAATTTGGCAATTTAGTGAAACTCTTGTCTCAAAAAATAAAAAAGCCTTTGGAATGTAGTCCAATGTGAAGGTTCTCGGTTTGCTCTGCAGTCATGAAAAAAAAAAAAAATCAAAAGATGGAATGAGCCTGACATCAGGACTACAGCTATTAATGTATTGTACTAGTCTTTACCCAGTGAGGAAAGAAAGGTGAGTGTTGATGAAGGAGACCAAGCTGGAAAGCTTTTCCTAACTGCTCTCCATCATTCTTGTGAAATACGATACCACAGTTAAGATTCTAAACCCTATTTGATCTAGAAATAGAGAATAAAATAGAGGTTCCCTGGATTGGGACAGAAGAGAAGAGATGATTGGTTCTGCTATTCACAAGCTGTATCACCTTAGAAAGTCATTTCATCTTCCAAGACACTTGCTTCGTGTTCCCAGCCCTAACTCTACTAGCTGTCTCTCTCCATTCGCTCATCTAGAAATAAGGTCAGCAGATCGATACTAATTTATGAGGTGTTCCAGGAGCTTAAAATTATATTTTGAAAGTTAGTCATTTTAAAAAACTATACATGATAGATCGGTTGAAAATAATGCACATATTTGCTTATAAATGATTTGTTCATGCTTTCAGTTACTTAAAACCTAAAATTTGAGAACACACTATGACTTTAGGTTCCTTTTTAGAAAACTGGTTCTGAGAAACAGTATGAGAACAGCCAAAATTCATGAAAGAATGTTTGCTTATCACAACACACTTTTTAAAGAAAACATAATTATTTTCTTCAATTTACTTACTTTTCAGATTTACAAACCTTATGTTTCTGAAATATAACAAGAAAGGGTTATTCCACAGAGGTCTGAGGATGTGAGGAATCCAGATTTTTGGTGATATGGATAGATGTCACATACATCTTTCAAATTAGGTTTTGTGTTTTATTTCCAGCTTGAATTCTTTTACACCTTCCTTTAAGAAAATTGTCTACAGAGAGTATGAACCATATTTTAAGAAAGAAAAACCACGATCTAGCATTTCAGGTAAGCCTAAAAAATATTTTTAATGATAAATTGCTAATTTGTTTGTATATAAGACATCCTTTGTGTGCTGTTTTTAACCCATGTTGCTGATACAACATATGGGCTCAGTACACAAGGAGAAAGGGGGACCCTGTGTTCATATTGTTGAAAAATTTAAATTGGTAATGTACAGCATTAAGCCACATGGGACCCTTCTGTGCATGGGACTTATACCTATGAAATCATATACCCATGAAGCCAGTGATGTTTCTAACCTTGGTCAGCATTGTGAAATAAGACTTCTGAACATTTTAATCTGTTCTCATTCATCCAAGAAATCACTGTGTAGCTGCAGCTGTGTGTGATAAACTCAGCCATGGATGCCACAGTGGACCAGACAGATCCCTACCTTACCTTCAGGGGTCTAGTTGAAGAAGGCTTAACAGAACCAGGTTTTGTTTCTACCTGGCTTCCTAGACTCAAAGGACTGCCTAAAGCGATTCTTCAGTGTGAGGAACCACATAGCTGTGAATTTTAAAGAAAATGTCTTTGCTTTGTGTCATCTTTCCCTTAATCAAAGAGACTACGTTGAGGAGGGTTCTAGGAGCTTCACTTTGGGAAAATATTTCATAGGAATGACAGAGGTGATCCGAGGACACCCCTCCAGCTGGGTCCTGTTGTCCTGACCAGGTCTTCACCCCTATTATCCTTCCCACACTCCTCTTCCACCTCTCCTGCTCATCTCCAGACCCGGAGTCTGATGATCACCTGGCAACGTCAACCTTTTCTTAACTTCTCTTCAGTCATAAATTAATAACAAAGGCACACTTGTGGGTGCAGTCCTATAATCCCAGAACTCTGGGAGGCAAGGCAAGAGGATTGGAAATTTGAGCTTGCCAGGACAATTTAGGAGGTTAGCAAGACCCTGTCTTGAAAGAAAGAATGAGAGAGAGGCAGAGACAGAGAGAGGAGTGAAGGGAGAGAGAGAGAAGGTGGGGGATATAAATGCAGACAAGGGCTCCAGGTTCAATCCCCAGGACCAGGAAAAAAAATCAACAAAGCAAAAGCCATGTTCAGGTAAATCCCTGTATTAGAGGAGGGAAAAGACTCACTTTGACCCTAGCCACCTTTTCCTTTTCTCTCCTTTCTTTGAGTTTTCGTCTTTCTCTACATCCTCTCCTTACATTCCCTCTCTCATCCATTTCAATGAAACTGGGCGCACTAACATTACGGTGTAAAAGGTACTGATGATCCCCGAGACGCCAGTGACCACGGCTCCTGTCCAGTCCTTTCACCGTTCCCGAGGTACTTAGCACTGTCCCTGCTTGAAGCTCTCTCCTTCCCTGGTTGGCCCACTGCCACTTGCCCTGGTTTTCTTCCACCCCCCGGCCGCTCTTCTCCATCTCCCCACTGTACCTTCTTCCCCCAGGTTCCATCCTTCACCACCACAAAGGCTTTCACACCCCCCTGCCCAGAGCCTATGTCCTTTCTGAAGCTGCACTGATTACCACTCATTCACAGCAGGAACAACTCCTCCTCTTCCGTTTGCCCCAGTACTGAGGGAACTAATTCCTACCTATTACGGATGTTGTGAAGATCAACTGAGTTAAAAGACACAAAGCACTTACAGGAATGCAAGCACATACTAAGCACTCAATTTAAGGTAGCTACATTATCATGGTGTTTGCTCTTGTGGTTATTAATCGTATTTCCATTAAATTATATATATTCATGGCTTTGTGGATATGCACATAGCTGTATTCTGTCACTTTATGTATTTTGGTAGTTGATCATTCATATATTCACTTATCCTTAAGTAAAAGTGCTTTTAAATATTACTTTCTTTTTTAAAAAGTTATTTTGCAAATGAGTACATTGCAGAATATAAAAGTGAGTGAGATCTGGACTCTGGCTTACAGGAGCCATCTGGCTCCTGGGGATGACCTGCAAGTTGGCAAATAGTTGTAGCACAGTAACAAAGAAAATCTATGATGAGAGGCTACAGCAGGACATAGAAGATCTATCCCTGGTCCAGTGGTCATTAATGTCTTCCCACTTCTAAGTTGATAGCTGAAAAAAGAAAAATAAAAGAGCAGGACCTTGGAAAGCCAGGTGGAGAGGAAGAGTGGAGATGCGTATAGGACCGATGAGCAGTCCTGTGTTCAGACTTGGAGTCTGAGATGTCTGTAGAGTATATTCCTCACAATGTCAAAGGAGCTGGTGGTGTAGAATTCTGGCCTTTAGGAGAGGAAACCTAAGCTAGATATAAATATTTGGGAGGCATCAGAACCCCAATTCCAGATGGCAAATGAAGTTCCAGAGACTGTGAGATCTTCCAGGAAGACAGAAAACAGAGCTAGAGATAGAGCTCAAAGGAGCAACTAAGTCCAAGGGATGAGCCTAGAAGAAAAGGTTCACCAGGAAGCTTAGCACATCTGCCTGGAGAAGGCAAGGACAGCTGGGGATGGGGTATTCGGGAAGCTAAAGACCAAAAGTCACCACAGGCTGCGGAGACAGGGACTCAAAGGCTGCCTTTTGTCGTGGAGAGAGGGGCAAGGTCACATGAAGGAGGGGACTTAAGGAGTGAATGGAAAGTGAAGAACGGGAAACAGAAGGAATTTACAGATAACTCAGTCCAAAAACTTGGCTCCACAGAGGAGGAAAGACAGAGGCTCCAGAGGGAAATGTAAGGACATTTTGGAGTTTTACAGAAAGGAATACAGATGTTTAAGCAAGGAACTTAATGGAAAAGGAAAAGATAAAGACATCTGAGGAGAAATAAACGATGGTGCTAGGTTCAGAAGCAGAAGAAAGCTCTAGGCTTCAAAGCTTGGGCTGGCCCAGCCTTTGTTGGCTAGAAGGGCCCCTACCTCTTTTGAATAAGATTGGCCATAAAATTACATGTTTACCTGTGGGCAGAAAGGTCTCTCGTTCTCATCACAGAGCCTGTTCAGTTTCACGCTGTGGCATCCAGTTTAACATGCAGAATAGATGCTTAAGGACTGTTACACTAAATTAAATTATAGAGGGGAAAGCTATTCATTGGGCCAAAAACAGAGGAATTGGAAGCTATCTGAAACTCCACCTTTTGTGGCTTTTGCCAACTCACTCGAGTTTAAGGCCATTGCTAGGTAAGACACTGTAGTAAGTGCCACAACTGACCTCCCGCAGTCCTTTGCAGCTCCACACTTGCAGGCTGTGCTTCCTTCCCTGTGCCCTACAGGGGTCTACTCCTGCCCCACTATGTAGCCCAGGGCACCGAGAAGGTGGGAAAAGGCTTAGGCTATCCAGATGAAGCTAAAGAGCAGTCAGAAACACTCAGCCCATGTTTGCCTACTTGCATTTGATTTGCCTGAATGAAAACATCTTTTAGTTTGGCGTTAATGCTGAAGGAGCATTAATGCCAGTATTGAACAAATACTCAACTGTCCACTGATGAAAGGTCTTTAGGAAGCTTGTTCTGGGCATCTGGCATTTGCAGCCCCGTGATGTCACCCAGAGACTTCGGTTGCATCCCCAGAAATGCCACCAACTCACTGACTGACCTGCAACCAGTCACCCTACTCTGCCCCTTATAACTTCCAGGCTTTGTTAACCAGTTCAAATGTAAGAGTTGAACTTGAACTCTGTGGTATCCATGACATCATTGTGCAGAGTTCTCATCAGAATAAAATAAAGAATTTGGGCAAAGAACAGGGTAAACTCTTGGACTGGGAGTACAATAGAAGGAACAGTGGGTGACCCATGGGGTTCTGCTGTGGGACGTAGCGGGTGAAGATGGTTGTGAGAGGCTGTGAAAATATTTTGTCTGGTGAGTGTGGTAAGTGGGGTCATATCCCTGCCTCAGGTCCGTGAGGGACTCTGCATATAGCATTAAGGGTCTTGGGATACAGAGGTATTCTGGGTAATCTGTCGGCCACAATGCAGTCCTAAAGATCCTTATAAGAGAGACATGGAGAATCTCAGAAAGTGACTGGAATATGCCTTCTGCTGGCCTTGAAGGGAGAAAGTGGCTGCAGAACCATAAATATATGCAACTTCTAGTAACTGAAACAAACAAGAATAGGATTCCACTTTTGAGCCTCCAGAATGACACATTTGCCAATACTTTGATTTTAACAGTGAAGTACATTTTGGACCACTGACATTTAGACTGTAAGAGAAGAGACACATTTGATTTGTTTTAAGGCACTAGGTTTGTGGCATTGGTTACCGCAGCCATGGGAAGCTGTCATCTCTGGCCACATCTGTCCCTCCCACAGCAGAACCCCATGGGTCACCCACGGCAACCTGGGGACTTTCCTCATCCCGTATCCAATCTGCCATTAAGTCCCGCAAACTTATCTCCCAGGCAGAAAGCTAATATTTCTTTTTTCATCATCTCCACCACTGTGACTTTCATCTCACCAGTGTCTCTCCCAGAGCATTCCCTTAGCATCTTCTCTGGTTTCTCCCCAGGCCATTCTCCACAAATACAGCTGGAGATTTAAAAACCAAAATCTTGTCCATTTTGCACCCTTGCTGAAAACTCTTCAGTGGCTTTCAAATGCAATTAAAGGAAAAACTAAATAAAGCCAACAAGCCCCCAAATGATTGGAGTTCCCGTGGTGCCATCAACTTTCCTTTCTGCCTCACTGTCTTGCCTACTAAGCTCCTTCATGGCCATCTGTCAGTTATCTGATTAGGTCTCCTCAGGGCCTTTGTACATGCTCAGATCACTCTCTGGTGAGATCTTTCCTGCCTCCTTTCCTGTCTACCTTTGGACTTGAGTTAAAGTACATCACTTCCTTGAGAAAGTGCTTCTCAACCCTAAACATTGCTTACCTGGATAATTAGACTAAGTCTTTGTCAAATATTCTTCAGGGTATTGTGTGCTTTTCTTTCATAAGGCTTACAGTTAATAATCAAATATCTGTATGATTGCCTGCTAAAATCTGTCTCTCCTATTATCTTACAAGCTCCATGAAGATAGGAAGGGAGTGTACCTATTTTATACTTTTACCTGTCACTACAAATCTGACTATAGGAAAATGTGGGAACTTAATATTCATTTAATGACTGAATGAATGAATACAAGGTAGGGACGCAGTATAAAGAGATGGTTTAAAGTTCAATACCTAGAGACCGACAGAAATAAGTTTAAATTATAGCTTTGCTTTTTAGTTGTGTGATATTGGGCAAGACACAGTATTTAAGTTTCCTGAAGCCCAGTTTCCATCTGTAATGTGAAGATCTCAGTAGGCATCTCCAACATTTATTGTGGGAATTGATGAAGATACACCCGAGCACTGTGGACCCTTCATCAATCCCCACAATAGTCTGTAAGGTGAAAAGAGCGAGTGCAGACAGAGATCAGGAAACAGAGAAAAGGGACTGGGGCGCAGAGGCCAGCAGATAGCAGGGAAGCAATAAAAAGTGTTTGGAATCTGGACACAACTGGAGGGAAGGCCTACAGCGTTTTCTGATGGATTTGCTGTGGCCTGTGGGAGAAGTCCAGGATGACCTGGAGGCTGGAGCTAAGTAACTGGGTAAACAGTGTTATGGGTTACTGCAGTGAGCCACACATTAGAATGGAGCTTTACTTAGCACAGGCACTGTGCTAAGGACTTCAGGAATAAGTAAGACCCAGTGCTCGTCCACCAGGAGCTCACCAGACAGACAGTAGGACCCACTACCAACATATGGTCAAGATACATGGGGGCCAAAGGTGCAGGACCACTTCTGTCCAGGGAGTTAATGGAAGTGCTGACATCTGAGTCATGGTTTTGAGTAGTTATACAATACAGTCGCCCAAAGTGTAGCCCTCCATGTCTCCACTTCAGAACAACACAGGGTCTTACTGAAAGAAAGGATCCCATGGATGTCCCGTCACAATTATCACCACTGCAAGTGAAAGCAGGTTGAACTTCACACCTCTCAAAATTCCTTCTCCTGCTTCCATGACCCCTGATGGGCAGAGGCCAATTCCATGAGAGCTTGGAGATGGCCCTGCAGCTAGCGTGACTTTTTCTCTAAAGAAGAAAAACTCTTTATAGTCATCAGACCATATCTCTGCTGCAGAAAGTTCCAGTGCTTTGCCATTTTACACAGAAGAAAAACCACAGCCACCCCCCTTAGGTCTTCCCATTCTTCCTATGCTGCTTTTCTTACTGTTCCTTAGATACACTGTGCTCACTCCTGATTCAGGGATTTTGAACTTGCCGCAGCGCCAGAGAACTGCGTGATGTGCACCATCGTTTTGTTCAGGTCTCTGAGGCTTCACTTAAATCAGAGAAATCTACAGTAGCTCCTCCCATATACCCCCGTGTAGCTGAAAATGACCTTCTTACTTTTCTTGACCAAAAACAGTAGTTTCAGCCAGGAATTGTGGCACACATATGTGATCTTATTACTCTGGAGGGCTGAGGCACGAAGACTGCAAGTTCAAGCTCAGCTTGTGCAACTCAGTGACTTAATGAGATCCTGTCTCAAAATAGCCACTATAAAAGGGGGTTGAGGAAGTAGCTCAATGCGAAGGTTCTGGTACCATAAAAAATAAAGACAGAAGTCTCTAAGGAAATGTGGTGGCTCTGAGTGGGTTGAACTTGGTCAAAACTGTTTCTCCTTTTCACTTGATTTGCTTTGGGTCCAGGCTGAGTTCCACCCTCCTGTTTTTATGCAACTGCATCAAATGCAGAGTGAATGAGCTCGCAAAGCCTCCATGGTTCCAGCGAAGCAGGTTGACTTCAAAACCAGGAAAATGGACCACAGTCACTTTGGGAGTTTCCTGCATAGCAGCTCTATCTTTGATGATTCTGAACACAGACAATTTTAACTTCTTGTTCCCGTAGGACTTCTTGGGCCTACTTTATATGCTGAAGTTGGAGACATCATGAAAGTTCACTTTAAGAACAAGGCAGACAAGCCTGTAAGCATCCACCCTCAAGGAATTAAGTACAGTAAATTCTCAGAAGGTAAGAGAAATTTCATATCCCTCTGACAAAAGAAAATGTATAACTCTAACACGACTGTCAAACATTTAAAACTGGTAATGTTAACCATGCATCTGAGAAATCTCCTTTCCTACAAATTAAGTTATAAAAAGCATTGCCTTTGTAAGTTTCAAAGATGAAAATCAAAAGGTTCCAAAGCCAACTGTACCTTAGCTTTTTGTTAGGTCCTTCTCCTTTAATAGCTGTGTGGGAAAATTAGCTAATCACTGTGAAACACAAGGTGTTCACCTTAACAGAGGAGTGATAACACACACATTGCAAGAAGGCTTACAAGGTCAACAAACATTTCTGTAAAAAGGCAGATAGGTATACGTTCAGTTTTCCAGGCCATAAGAGCTCTGTTTCAATGACTCAATTCTGCCTTTTAATACAAAAGCAGCCACAGAGAATATGTTCATGCATAAGTGTGGATGTGTCACGGTGAACTTCATTTACAAACACAGGCAGCTAGCAGGATTTGGCAGGATTTTGGTCCCTGACATGGTGACATGGTCTGATGGCAAACAGATGACACTAGCCCATAGTATTTGATGGTGGTAATAGTAAAGAATACTAGATACTACTTTAGAGGTAGTAAAATGGTTAAGAACATAAATACGGAAGGTAGACTCAAGGTTTAGCTTTAGCATTTCTATTTCTCTGACTTAACATCTATGAGCCTCAATTTTCTCCTTTGCAAAATGGGAAAGCTTACACCTACCCAATAAGGTTGCTCTGAAAATTAAATGAGATCATTTAGGTAGTGTTCCCAGGACATGGTTCCTAGGCTTGGTAAACTCTCAAAAAATGATGAGGACTCAGTGATGATGACGATGTCAGTGGTCACGAAGATGACGGTGATGAGAGTGAATGCCTCAGCCACAGACAGTACGTCCCTGCGTTAATACTGTTCTAATTTTGCCCCTTGCATTAACATTCAGACCACAGTAAGCAGAGCAGAGTCCTACCAGGAACTACTATTAAAATTGTCTCCGTGTTGTCCTAGTCAATGGTTAATAACATTTCTAATAACTTCAGGCTTTTCATGTTTTACAAATCTCTTTCCTTGCCCCACATATTCCAGCCATCATACCCCTGAAGAGAGGAATTGGACAGTATTTTATAGAGCAGGAGCTAGAACAAGGTTTGCCAGCGTGAATCTTGGCTTCCATACTTAGCAGCTGTGTGACTTGGGGGACATTACTTAACTTCTCTATGCCTCCCCTTTCTCACCTGTAAAACAAAGATAGTAATCATAGGTATCTCACACAACTTTGTTATTATAAAATCTCAGAAAGATACCTAGCACATAAACCTACAAGAATCCTCTAGCAAAATGTGTTCAACAAATTTAATATTAGACAGCTATGAGCGAGAGGGTGGTGTTTACATTTATTGCTTCCTATGTAAATTACTGTCAAACCCATTTCTTGTAAGGTGGTGATGAACAGGTCACTACCTATTGTGAACTATTTTCCCCAGAGGCACCTGTAAGGATTCAGAAAAAAAACAACAAAGATTAACTGTGAAATTTCAGCCATCTTCAGAAGCCAAGACCCTAGGGTTGCCAGCATGTGTGGCAATCTTTCCATGTCCCTAACATCATACAGCAACACAGTGAACACCTCTTAACCTATGTGTAAACTTCCAGGGGCTGCATCAGGGACTCAGCACAGCAGGGCAGGAGGGGCAATGTTTGCTCAAAGAGCCAAAGTGCCCCTTCCAAGTTCCCTTTCAAACATGGGAACAGGTCAGAGCTGTGAACTCTGCACCCCAGCGAGGCTGTTTGCACAGTGAGTGGACCTTGCTACAAATCCCTCTTTGGGTGTTTATTTGTTCCCATTGCTTCACAGTCAGCAATGATGGATGAAAAACTGCTTAAAACGCCCCCACAGTTTCATCTGGTGACCAGACTACTGGCATGGATCAGTGCCTGTGCACCCATGAATCTGAGAAAGACAAATGCAGGTGTGTGGGGAAAGTCAAATTTCATCTTGAAAGCGAGATGAAGTCTAGTAAACAGCATTCTTCATATTGAAAGACAAACCTTCCGTTCATCTTATCATGCCTTCTGTGTTATCTCCCACCCTCAAGGCCTCCCTTGACATTTTGAGACCTTCTTTGCAGGAATGAAGATAAACTCAGATCTTGCTGAGCCAACTACAAGAGAATCCAAATTCCTTTACTCAGAGGCAGACAAGTGAGAGAAATTGCGAGCTTGACATGATCTAGTAGGCTTGAGAAATCACAGTAGTACATCTGGAAGGATGGATAACCCTTTTTGACAGAGGCCAAATTATGATTTATAAAAATGCTTACCTTTCCTTTAGAAATGTATTTAATAGGAATAGCTTTAAATCAGGAAATAAATTATCTATAGTGGTACATAATTATTGGAAAGCTTTCTATCACTAAAAAGTTTCAATTTGAGGTTAAAACTTGTGAAACTTCGTAAGTAGCGTGCTGTTTGAAAATCACAGCCTTGAGAAAACTGTGTTACCCTGTAAGGGTTATTCAAAGTTGTCCTGACCATTTTCAAAGATGTTTTGGTTGTTACCTTTAGAAAGTTTGTTTCATAATAAATCTTAATAGTATTCTTCGTTTGATTTATAACTTTCGTAGTTTAAATATGTGAGTTTCATTATGAGTATTGCACCACAAAATTAGTTGTGTAATATCTAGTCATCTTCTGGTTATTCAACTCTGAATTTTAAAAAAATTTCACTAGAGATTTTTCCTTGCATCTAAATGTTTCCAAATTCTGTGAAAACCTACTCTTGTAAATTTTCCAAAGCATTCTGATGTTTGATAAATTATACATGATTATATTTACTCTTTCATCTAGATATTTTGTACTTCATTGAACATATAATAATGCTTAAAACAAACTGTAATGGCCAACATAATAATTCTCATAAATCACATAAAGTGAACTACTGTTCAAAAGAGATTTGTGTGTCCTTAGCAGTGGAATTGGGTTCCTTGCAAAGCATCAGCATTTTCATTTGCCTATTGATTATAGTTTCTAAAAGAATGTTCTGAATCTTTGAAGGCATTGAAGCATTCGCTAAGTTTATTAAATGGAGAAGAAAGGAGTTGTTAACAAAAATAAGGGGAGAATTTAATGAATGAGCACCCTAGTGGGGAACCAAAAGAGTTCGTTATGCAATTTCACTTTCCCAAAACTTACACACTCCATTTTACATTTTTTTTAAAAAATGCTGAAAACCTTCTGGCAAATAATTAGAACACCACGACAAGTATAAACACACTGCAAAGCTGACGATGGACTGAGCAGGAAGCAAACGGAGTCAGTAAATATAAAGTGAAGGACAAGCATTGTGCCAAGCATTTATTCTAGCATGAAGCCAAACAGGAACTTTCTGTGTCCTAGCACAGTGTCGTTCATGTTCATTTTTCCTCCTTTTCAGTTTAGAGCCGAACTTTTTATTTTGATTCCAAAGTCAAAATCAGATTCAGCAAAAATGCATTTCACACATGGGTGCTCAAAATAGCTGCTGCTTGGGAGTATACCTTACATTAAATGGGTTGTAAAATCAAAGATTCGGCATACCTGTGTTATTCTAGAATGAAGGCAAAATTATCTGAAGTGAAAAGAAAATAGTGATCAAATTGTCCCCCAGCTGTCTCATTAGTTGTCCTCTAGACTATGTCCCACTTGCAGGCATGGTTCATCATTTGTTTCAGTGTACTGTACCCATAATTCACCTTTTAAATAATCTGCTCAATTATTTGACATTTATCTTGCATTTAACTGACAAATACAAAATTATGGATAATTTATTTTAGTAAATTATATGGTCATTTATTTGTGTGGCTTTGGGAACATTTTCTTTTTTTTTTTTTTTTTTTTTCTTATTTACTATACAACCCAGTAGAGGGAACATTTTCATTATTTATGCATATACCAAAATGTCATGGTGTATACTTGAGAGAGAATTTTTAAAATCTGCTGTGTGTTAAATCTGATGTGGGCCACTGACCACTTAAAAGTAAATTCGATGCCATTAAAACTAAGTCACAGTGCTGTATCCAGTACGAGTGTTCCAGCACTCTGGGTAATTCATAGATACTGATATTGCTGGACTGAAAATGTGTGTTCTAACTTTGGCCTGGGGACTGAGTGGCCCCAGGCAAACTCTGGAGGGGAGCTCATCACAGCCAAGGCTCCCACTGCACCCCACTGCTAAGTGGGCTGAGCTTGCGGGGTACAGCTCTGACGGCTTTCCACCTGCACTTGGCCCCTGGCCAAGAGCCTGGCCCAGAGCTGATGAGACTGAGGATAATTCTGAACTAAATGGAAGGACTGAGGACTTATTAGAAAGTAGAGATGATGTCTTATTTTCTCTTTGCTTTGAAGTTAATTGATTTTTTCTTCTGGTAGTTGTTAACAGTTACTTTGCATATTGCTTTTTGTGGTGGTTGTTGTTGTTATCTTTAGAAGAGATTTGTCACTGCAATAGACTAAATATCTGTGTCTCCCCTGGAGTCATAGGTTGGAATCCAGGTCCCCACTGGGATGGTACGAGGGTGTGGCCTAGGAGGGGCAGTTGAGTCATGAGGGCAGAGCCCTCAAAATGGGTTTGTGTCCTGTGAAAGAGACCCCAAGAGGAGCTCTCTCATGCTCTTTCTGCTTTATGTGTACCCAATAAGAAAGCGATCTGCAGCCCCGCAGGGATGCTCAGAAGAAACCCACCATGCTGGAACCCTGGCCTCAGCCTTCCAGCCTCTAAGCATGTGGGAAATGCCAGCTATTTAGAAGACCAAACTAAAATGAATACCAATTTCCATCTTCCTTATGTAGGTTACGAAAACTCAATGACACTTAAGCTATATCTAATCCAAAGTAAAACTTAAAAGGAAAGAAACTGTGTTAACTATAAAGTATCTGACACAGAAGACACCTAAATAAAATCCTAAATATATTACCACAGGCTGGCAAAGCAGTTGTTAGGTGATAA